AATATGCTCTACTTCTGGAACTCGGAAGGCCGCAAAGACAACAAATACGTCATCGCGGCCAAGGGCCTTCGTGAGCAACTCAACCGATGGCCTCGTACTCCCGAAGGAGGATTCTGGCACCGTGCCCCTGTTTACGCAAACCAGATGTGGCTAGATGGCATTTACATGGCTGATACCTTTTACGCAACCTACACATCCTACTTTGAGCCTCAAAACATCACCGCGTGGAACGATATTGAGCTCCAATTCGATCTCATCGAGGAGCACTGCCGCAACTCAACCACCAACCTTCTCTACCACGGCTACAGCGAAGACAAGTCCACTGTCTGGGCGGACCCCGAGACAGGTGCTTCCCCTTACGTATGGGACCGTGCTCTGGGATGGTACTTTGTCGCGCTTGTCGAAGTCCTAGAGGTCTGGCCCAAGACCCACGCCGGCTACTCCAAGCTCCTCAACTACTACAAGACGCTCGCCTCTGGCATCAAGAATGTCCAGGACGCCAGGGGTGGATGGTACCTTCTTATGGACCCGGAGCTTGCTGGAAGGGAGGGCAACTACATCGAGTCGAGTGCAACTGCCATGTTCACTTACTCGTACCTAAAGGGAATCAGGCTGGGACTCTTGGGCAAGGAGTACAAGCAGCCGGCTACCAAGGCCTGGAAACTGTTGCTGAGTGATTTCATCCAGTTCGAGAAGAATGGCACATTGAGCTTCACGGGTACCGTGACAGTTGGAAGCTTGAAGGGCGATGCCTCGTACGAGTACTATACTGGTGTCGAGAAGCTCATCAATGATGGCAAGGGTGCCGGTGCTTTCATGTACGCTGCGACTGAGGCTGAGAAGGCCAAGTTGTAGACTCAAGCACGTTCCATGCCACTGTAAATACTGAACTACTTTGTAAATACTGTATATAATTTCAAGAAACACTTCTTTTTTCGCTCTTCATACCGGATAGGTTTTGCCGAAATGATTCGTGATATTGCGTCTCTACCAAGCTACCTTCCCCGGCTCACCAAGCAGTTACCACCACCCAGGCTCGCAACATCTCATCCTCCGACCTACACGAAAACAGCGGCTCCGTTATATCTAGCATTGAGTCTCGCAAATGCCTAATTTACCCCAGCTATGTTAGCTGGTCTTGCATTGAGCGGACAAGCCGCTACCCGGGCAACCCGTCATAGGCTGCCAAAAATAACCGACGATGCGGAGCCCCTAAGCAGCCCTGTGGGGCTCCAGCCACTCGCAAGCCACCTCCCAGCCTCAGATCACCAGCTGCGCCGGAATGCTGGACGGGGAATCAGCTAATGGGTGTCGGTGGAATGGTTCAGGTGACGTGGGCCAATGTCATAAGATGCTCGTATTTTCTGTGGATATCTCTTCACCGTCTGGCTGTCCCTGATTATTTACTTCTTCACCGACCCTTAATTATAAATTCCCAGTGGTACAACAAACACCTACCACTACTTAGTATATACCGAACCATTCACTCGCTCATACATACCTTCTACACGACTTGTACGTCTTATTCTAAGCCCACTGCAACTCTTAAAAACCCCCCAACAATATACTAACGTCACCCTCAGAAATCACAGCCACAAAAATGTCCCTCACAACCTCCGCCACATCCAGCGCTCCCAGCGCCAGCTCCACCGCAGCAGCCTGCAGACAAGCAGACTTCACCCAGTTCCCGACAAGCGACGCCGCCTGCGCCGTCGGCAGCATCAGCGGCGTCCCCTCCAACACCACCGACGTGCTCTCCAAATGCTGCAAATCCGCCCCCGTCGAGGAATTCAACGGCGCATGCGGATACTACTGTCTGAGCTTCGAGCAGACGATTCGCGAGCTGCAGACGTGCTTTATGGAGAATGGGGCAAGGCCAGGCGATATTCTGTGCAATTCGAATAATAGCGCGACCGCGACGGGGACGCCGAGTAGGACTGCGGGTGCGAGTCGCACGTCTGGGAGTGGGGCGAGTGCGACGGGGGATTCCAAGGGGGCGGCGCCCGCGGTGGGGGTTAGTAAGGTTGGGTTGGGGATGTTGGGGATGGTGATTGTTTCGGCGATCAGTGGTGCGCTTTTGTGAGGGTGAGGATGGTGGGTTGAAAGCATTTTACGGCGTTTGCTGGTCAGATTGGGCCATGATTTTAATGAGGACTCGATTGTAGAATGATAATGATATTTCTTCTATTCACAGTGTGTGCTTTGCCGTATTGTGCTGACAACGTTTTCCGTCGTCGACCTAAAAAGGGTTCCGGGTAGGACTTATCTGGTATGATTTTGCATCTTCGTTGTGAACATCTAGTTGAGTGGTCTTCATGATACTCCAATTTTGCTGTCTCTCTCCTAACTCTAGGATGCAGCGTTCGCTTTCTTCGTCGTCATCTTGCAGCTTTGTGCGGCCCTTGGAAGCATAGTGCGGAGAGACAATATCAAACTGGCTGGTGGGTTTTTGAGAGACACCCATGGCTGTGGCAAAGCTCGCTGGGATGATCTTCGAGAATAGACTTAGGATAGTGTTTCGCAGAGGCGGAAGATTTGCAACGATGATGCTGACGCAGACCTCGTTGATGCTGCAAATACTCAGGTCAATGGCATCCCACATCATCTCTTGTGACTTGAGGAACTTGGCGGTGATGGAGATTTTGGCAACAGAAAGCCCAGTGCCACTGGTGTGATTTGTGAGTTTCCGCGTCGTGTATTAATTTGTACTGGGTACTTACACCAGTGCTAATAGGAAAAAAACTCGGACGCCCCACTGCATCTGCTTGCTGGGCTGGATATGCCTTAGGTACACGATAGGCGCTGCAGTGTAGATCTAATAGTCGTTAGACTCAATTTTAAAACATACACTTATTCTACTCACCAAATCTGTAATGATATTGAATGCAATCTGCATGTAAGCCGTTGCATCACTGACTGCTTCTGACCAGCATTCTCCTTCCACACTAAAATCCCACCGAGAGTAGTAAGGTCGGCAGTATGCAAAGTGCAGTACCAACATCATGACAAGGTTGCACAACACCACGATAACAACAGATATCCAGATGAGGACGCGATAGCTACGTCCAAAATCCAATGCCATCAAGTAAGCGCAAATGGACGCCTTGACAAGGAACATTGCGTAGACGTTCAGACACTGCGTAATGAAGATCATATGTAGTTCATGCGACGTACGGCCTGGTACAAGCCACCATGGATCTGCCATGAGACGGCCTTGGCCGCCTTTTCCAGCAAGCACCGCGTACGGTACGCAGCCCAGGAAGTTTAGGATCTGGATGGACGAATCAGTTTGGTGGTACCTATGTGACCGAATAAACATACCATGCCTCCTGCCATGAGCCAGTCGCTAAGTCCTAGGTTTTTGTTGATTCTTAGGCGAACAGCAAGTCGCAGTGCTGCTATCAGAGTACATAGAGTGGCCATTATGGATGCAGTAGCAATGAGTTCATTTCCTCGATTTGGCCATTCTTCGGGAGGTGATGACTTAGCCATTCTGGGAGGGCAAAAGGGGTGTATGACGAGTAAAAGCTGATTGGAAATTTGAAGGGCGTAAGAGCTGCTGCGAGGAGAAAGCCACTCTTTGAATACGAAGGCGTATCAACGTTAATACAGATACTTGGGACAAGTGAATGTACATGGGGGGTCTCATGGTTAGAACAGCCCATGTTGGGTAATTTTGGATGTGAAGTTGACTCCTGTCAAATGGAAAGCCGTTACAGAGTCGATCACAGGCGGCTTCATTCTGCCGTCGCTGTTGGACATGTATGGTTGGCGCGGCACGCGAGCCACGCCACTTCCTTGGAAACTCTCAGCTGAGCCTCTCATTGTAATTACCGGATCTAAAACATGTTCTGATATATTCCAGTCTTTGCAGAAATTATGTAAGGTCTGATGGTTCAGAGGTCAAGGTTGGATCATGCGATTACGTTGGGCGATAATTTTCTTGGGGGGTTTGGTCAGATCCCTGTGTATATGTAACTTCCGCGGAGAGGTGCGAGGTGTTCTTATTCGACCTGGTGTCAAAGGTGGAGACGAATGTAGATCTGTGATAGGACTGCTCATCGTTGCCGAAGCCGCGATTTCTACATGCTATGATTAAAGACTTTTACCGGCAAACCAAATAACAGCGTCGTCATTACATGTACTCAGGCTGACGTAGAAGTAGCCATCCAAGTAGAGCGATGCCAATGAGTATCTATTTAGAAGATGCTATCAATGTGGAGTGTCAGAAACACGTGATTTTACTCATACCTGGATGAACAGGGGTACTGTCGCATGTTGAAGCAGTCCCCACACGCTGCCCTCATCAGGTATAGTCGGCTGGCTGTGCCACCTGAAGCACCCAAGCGAAGTAACGCTGTTCGAACCCTTCATGCTGTGACGAGTTGCATCCTCGGAAGGTGAGTGAGACTGTTTAGCTCGAAAGGCCAGCAAGCATTTTTAGCGGTCGCGGCATTCTGCGTCAATTCAGATTAGCATACGTAGCGCATCAAGAATTTTCCGTTATGTTCAAGGAGACCTAAGGAAGATGTGGTAATTGGTACAACCTCAGGGACCAGGCGTTCCCCACTGGTAGCTTCCGTTTCTGTCTAGACGCAGGAACGGTTACAGAAACGGCAGTTGCAAGCCATCCGCGGACCTGTGCCAGGTGTCTTCAAAGCTGTTGGTTCTCAGACCCTCATTTTACAGCTTTCCATGTGAACAGCGGCCATGACTAGTATCAGACAACCCTTTCAATCAAAAATGAATATCACCATCGGTGCGTTACCTCCGATGATGAAGATATGGCACATGCCACAGCCTAAAATCAGTCTGGCACGTACGGCAGTTGCGTGGAATACCAAATTCTGTGACGATCCTGAATATCCTTTCGAAATTAATGTACAGCTTCTTTACTGGACTAGTTCTCGGGGAACTTCCAGGCGTTAATCGTTACTGGTGCCCAGCCGCATTGGCAGCTCGATCCTCGTAGGCGAGAAGATCTAATTGTTCGACTCGAAATGCGTTCTTTCGTGACTCCCTCGCTATTTGGGCTGGCTGTATCGGTAGCTGTCACGAACGGAACCACATATGATTATGTCATTGTTGGAGGTGGTACAACAGGCTTAGTCGTTGCGAACAGGTTGAGCGAAGATCAAAACAGTAAGTCGCCATCTATCGCAGCGCCGTCTCATAAACAACAGTACTGAAAATTCCGCCCACAGAAACCGTCTTAGTCATCGAAAATGGCGCTCTCAGCAACAGCACTCTATCCAGCATCCCCGGCAATTCAGGTGGCTTAAACCTCGCAGCCATGTACGACATCTACAGCGCTCCAGTCCCAGCCCTCGGCAATCAAACGTTTCTGGTAACAGTCGGTAATGTTGTTGGTGGTGGCTCATTCGTAAACGGTATGCAATTCGATCGCGGTGCCGAAGCCGACTACGATGCTTGGACTGAGCCGGGAAACAAAGGCTGGGATTGGAAAGGCCTAAAGCCGTACTTTATGAAAAGCAATCACTTCGATGCACCATCGAATGTGACTATCGAGTATGATGCGAAGGCTTATGGAAGCGGTCCACTTAAGGTGTCTATTCTGGACGACCAATTTTCTGATATGAAGATTGTATATCATTCCTGAGATGATTTTGATATTCCTTATCCACAGGAAGGTTTCTCAGAACCCGTTGGTCATTACTGGTCGCCAAATTCGATTGATAAAGCCACGGCTGCACGGTCTACTGCACGCACAGCGTACTATGATCCTATCGTATCACGAAAGAACCTCAAGCTATTGACAGAAACCCACGTTGATGAAATCACTTTCTCAAAAGACAGAGCTGGTGTCTTGAGAGCAACAGGAGTCAAATACACACCAAAGAGAACCAACGAGCATGCTCAGGTTTTCGCATCAAAAGAAGTGATTCTCGCCGCTGGGGGTATATTCACACCACATCTGCTCATGTCCTCTGGTATTGGCCCCAAAGATGTACTTGAGGCCGCTGGTGTTACTATAAAGAAGGTGAGCTAAACGAAGCACAACCTATGTACATTGATTCTAACATTTGAATGTAACAGGACCTCCCAGCCGTTGGCTCCAATTTCCAAGACCGCATCGCCAACTACATGAACTTTGATCTACAAAAACTCGACCCAGAGAACAAGGGCGCTCTCACCACCAACGCAACTTTCAACCAAACAGCATACGACTCGTACTCAAAGTCACGCACCGGCCCCTACTCCACCGGCAAATCAAACGGCCTCATGTTACTCGCCCTCCAACACTTCTGCCCATCCTTCAACACCACCCTCTCAAAACTCCACTCCCAAATCCCCACCCACTTCCTCCTCTCCCGCTACTCCACCAACCCCGCCCTCCTCGCCGGCTTCGCCGCCCAACGCGCCATCCTCGCCACCCAATTCTCCCTTACCACCGCCGCCGTCGGCGAAATCGTAATTCAACCCGGTAGCCTCTCCGGCATCGCAAACAACAAACCCCTCTCCCGCGGTACCATTACCCTAAGCACTACGCATCCCGCCGCCTACCCCATCGTCCAATGGAACACCTTCCAGAACCTCATCGACGCAGACATCATAGTAGCACTGACACGTTACAACCGCGCTCACTGGGCCTCCTCACCCGCACTGTCTCGCTACAACCCCGTTGAAACGGCTCCGGGACCGGAGTACCAGACTGACGAGGAGATTATTGCGGGAAGTGTGAGGTCCGAGTCGCTGCAACCGTCGTTTGCGCACCCGATCGGGGGTTGCAGTATGATGCCTGAGGAGCTGGGGGGTTGTGTTAGTGATGAGTTGCGGGTGTATGGGGTGGAGGGGCTAAGTGTCGTGGATGCCAGTATGATACCGATGATTCCCGCAGCGCATTTGCAGGCGACCATGTATGCGGTTGCGGAGAAGGCGGCGGATTTGATAAAGGGGAGGGGTTAGGTTGTGAGTTTTGTTTTGGCAGTGAGAATGTTAGGAACGTTCGACATATGCTATGAGGAAAGGGAAGTGAGTTTTAAAAAGTTGAGTACAGGGTTGTCCTGGAAGAGTAGGTCTTGCATGCACCAAAGCTCTAATGAAAGAGGACTACTCAGTGAGAATTTAATAGCCTGAAACCAATGACATGTACTGATATTTCCATGTTAACAGGCTTATCACATACCAACCAGCAAGTCAAAAACAAACCTCTCAGAATCGACCCTCCTATTCCTTTACCCATCCTTTCCTCCGGCATACCCCAGATACCAACACACCACAATGACGTCTTGCACAACCCCACAAACTCACCATGTCCGCGCACTCGAAGCGAGATGCTGCAGCCAGCCAACATGATTGTGCTGAGTGCATACAAGCAAGTCACATCATTCGACAAAAGGGGGGTTGAGTAATCCAGCCCATCACTTCCCCATCACACTATAATGAGCTGACACATACATGGCGACATCGGCGACTTTCGCCAGCCTCGCTAGCCTTCGGGTCATGATTGGATGCGTCGCGATCCTGCATTCTGTCAGTGGCGCTTGGGAGTACCCCAGGGCCCAGCTCCCCACAAATGTGTCGTGACGAGATGCCATGTGCGTGGGAAGGTTGAGATGAGTGGCGATTCGCTGGTGGGTAAGGGCCAGAAAAAAGGTCTGGCGTAGGGGAGGGCGGGATGAGATAGTCCAGCCTCGCGTAGAGGGGGGTACGTGTGGGACCCAAGGGCGTTTTTTTGGGTCATGTCGGTAGTTGTGTGTTTGGGCCGAATGTAGTGCCGATGGCAAATGTGCTTTGACGCTTTTGTGGTCTGAGTTGAGAGGTATGGGATTAGTTTAGTGTTTATTTTAGGTTGCTCGATGGAAGATGGTAGTGCGATCGGGAGGTGTGGTGTGGTGATCGGAGGAGCCAGTGAGGTCGAGAGATTATTACTCGTGCCTGTTTTCGTTTGAAATGAACTGGAAATGCTTTTCTGGGACTCAGATAGTCCGGAACAGTGTTGATGGCGTTTTGTGGCTAGGCGATTGGAAGCTGGGCCGTCTATTGGCGTTCTAATATGGAGTGATTAGACGGAAAATGTAATATAGTTCATGACTGCAATCTCGATCAGCTTTGACAAAAGGTAGTGAACCCTTGCCCTTGCACAGTGAGAAATACGCCGAGAGGCAAAAAGGGGTGGGTAAGATCTGGAAATGTGGAGGGCGTCCAAGGATATCCGGTATCAAAAGCCAATTGGAATAGAGGAGATTCATCGTATTAGCTGAAAATAGTGGGCCAAGTTGTCTATCCAAATCTCAGTTGTCTGAGGAGATGAAGTACTAACTGATACAGGAGAAGATTCTGTACAGTTGTTGTTATTGTTGCTAGTGGTGAGGGTTGGTAGCGGACTATTGAGGGCTGAAAAAAAAACACTCTTTCGCAACCACTGCAACGATGATCCCGATGCGAACACGATGCGTGCATGCAGGTCATTGGGAGAAATGGACCGCTTGTCATGAAGGATCAGTAGGCTTCCAACGGGTCAAGTGGGTAACGGCTGGCTGACGCGGTCATCGGTCCCAAGGGACAGGACAAGATGGGCCGCGGGGGCGGCATAGGTGGAGTGAGAGAGACAGGGAGGAGCATGGGACGTTGGGACGGATGGGCACTAGGACCGGGGTTTTTTGTTCAACCACTTTGGCTGTGTGTGATGGTAGCTTACTTGCATCCCGTGCCGGGAGTGGGTAGCCATCCGATGCGTCCGAGTAGGCATACCCAGCCTTTGACAGTTACCTTGGAGGGAATAGCGTGCACAACGATTCCAGCAAGTGCCGTCACTTGGAGGCAAAGCCACGTTGAAATCGCCACCTATTATTTCATGATCCGCTATAATGGAATGGCATGACAGCTGTCAGAAGGGCCAAGTAATTCCGAGTACCAGGACGGGAGTCGAGCAGTTGAGATGCATGGGCGAGTAAGTAGTTGCTGTTGGGCGTGGAACTGGAGCTGGAAGAGAAATTTCTAAATAAGCTGAGCCACGAGAAAGCGGATACGGGAAATTGGCGCTGTCCAGATCCCGCATCCGCATTTGAGCGCGTGTAGGAATTGGTCGTCACACATTGATGGGATGCGGTGAGGTTATTCGCTGGCGTAGAGGCGAGAGCCTGGGATGGCCCTTGCATCTCGGCGGCCGATCCGAAAGACGCTTCGCCACAACGGGCAACGAGGCAACGAGGCAACGCAAGACCCTTTGAGCCCTCAACGACGACACGCGACAGGCGCGTGGTGGATGAGGGCAGACACTCAATGAGCGACGCGGGCTTGGTAGAAAGCGGTAGTCTAGATGACGCCGTCAGTCATCCAGAGTATCGGCTTATATCGAGGAGCCCAAATCAAGTCGTACAACGGCAACGTGCACAGACGCTTAGGCCCAGGTACTTTGCAGGTACCCCCGGCTTCTGGTGGCGATTGGCTACACACTCATAGTAGTACTCAGCCACTGATGGACCGCAGCAACAAGATGCCTGGACCCAGACTGGGCCACTCCACCCTCAGCTTGCGTCTACTTGCTCGCTTCTCCACAGTAGTCTAAAGTACCAGCAAGTCACGGTGCGCGCTGCCCTCCAAGGCTGTGTTGAGCGTACCGGGACCCCTGCGGGCCAATCCGACACCAGTCCAAGCACCCGCAACGGAGCTGCCGTTGACGCCTACCAATAGTGCAGCGTAGCGACCTATGCGAAGTTTTTCTGTGTATCCGCGTACCATGCCCCCCAGTGAAGGCGAGTTCCACATGAGGTCGAGCCGATGTGCACGGCGCAGCTTGGGCGGACTGGTCCGAGTCCCTTTTGTCGCCCTCGAGGAGGGTTATATTCCTGTCCATTCCCAGTCCCGTGCATCTTGGACGCTGATGACGCTCGTTCCTCAGTCTGACCTATTATCCATCTGAAGTCCATCTACCTTGTTTGAAACTTTGCTTTGCTCACGATGAGGTCCCCCCCGCCAGAGGTCCTGAAGACCTGGCCCAAGCCCAACTACATCGACCCCGTCACAAGAGGCCCGGGGTTGATGATTGTTGAGCTGACTCTGCTTCCCATTGCCATGATAGTCGTCTTCCTTAGGCTCTGGGTACGGATATCATGGTTGAAGAAGAGCTGGTATGACGACTATCTCATGATTGTTGCCATGATCTTCAGTATTGGTGCGTTTATTCCCCCCACCAACTCGCATCACGCCCCATCATGACTGACTCATCATACAGGTACCACCATTATTGTCATCATGGCATCTCAGCTGTACGGTTGGGATCGTCACGCCTGGGACCTGAAGCCACATGAGATGATGGTTGGCAGACAGGTACGACCATGGGTTGGCTCGTGGCACGATGAGCTGATGCTGACTTCTGCAGGCATCCATGGCAGGCCAGACATTATTTGTACTTGCATCATCGACTATCAAGATGTCGATTCTGGTATCATACTTTCGCATCGCCCCTGAAAAGTCCGTTTTCCGTAAGTTAGTGTGGGCGACGTTTGCTCTTGTCTTTGCCGCTTTCGTCGTCTTCCTGGTTGCCCTGTGGGTACAGTGCATGTGAGTACCATGTCCAAAGCAAACAGTCCTTCTGGTGCTGACAACTGCAGTCCAATTTCGAGCTATTGGAAGCTGAATGCCGACCACCGTGACTGTATTCCCGAGGGACCCCCGCTTGTCGTACAAAGTGTCCTCAACGTCGTGACCGACTTCATGATCTACGCACTACCCATCCCCACTCTCTTCTCACTATCACTTCCATGGAGTCAACGCATCGGACTGATCGTTCTCTTTTCCGTTGGCGGCCTTATTGTTGTTGCCAGTAGCTTCCGGGCGTACTGGATCCACTACACACTGTTCCGAACATACGATGCAACCTGGGAAGGATACCAGATCTGGGTATGGACGGCCATTGAAACAAACGTCGGTGTTATTTGCGGATGCATCCCGGCGCTCAAGCCCCTACTCTTCCCGCACCGAGCGAGACAACAGGGTTCAAGATACGCCAGCGGCTCGCAACACAGCAAGAAGAAGGAGAAGATTACACCTGTCATCGACCAGGTTGAGCTGGACACACGCAGGCTGACCGAGAACAACGACTCGCAGCCTGAGCTTGCCATCAGCACACAGCCAGCCCACCACAGCACCTTCTCGGAGCGGCCGATGAGTGGCGACACAGACAAAAGTCGGTTCGAGATTGATATAGAGCAGCAAAAAGCCTACATGTACTGATCGCGAGGCGCAGTGCACATTACCTTTATTTAATATTCGCATACGTTGAGCGTGTGGCGTTGGGGTGCCGTTGAGCTAGGGGTTTTCCTGGTGGGCCACTCGTACCCTCGACTTTCATTTTCATTTGTATTTTTCTTACCACCAATATCCTCACTTGGGAAAAAACCAAGACTGGGTGGCTCTCTCGGACTCGACTCTTGTTTCTTTATTTCTTTTCTTTCCTCTCTTGTCTGGGCGGTCAACTGCGCATCACGATGCCAGTCTCTTCTTTTCGCGTCTCTTAGCGAGGCGGTTAGTACTACGATAGCATGTAATGCCATCACGTCAGCCCATCTAGGGCAACGACCTCTTTTTTTTTCCCAAACTCATCTCGCAACTGGTTCCCTGTTGAGATGCAGACGAGTCGCAGCTTCGGTGTTGAAGACGATGTAGGAGGCAGTCGGCAGTCGGCAGGCTGAGATGAAGGTGCGATTGGCTACCAGATCCCCGTTGAGTGTTCAGATTTAACCTGCATAGGGCATACGTACTCGTCTCAATCGACAACCTACACACTGACTTGACTGCTCCGGGCTCATGCAGGCATGATGTGGGCATGCGAGGATATGTTATTGAGGTGAGTTGCTGTCATGCCGTGGGAGCCGGGCTGGCCCATGGTGCGACATGCTCTTTCTTTTCCTGGACTTTTGCTTTGAAGCAAGACCCTGAGCATATCTATTTATGTTTCAGCAGTAGATTGGTCCGTGGGCATGGAATATGATGTCAGCCCATCCCGCTTCTCCACTGCAAGCACAAGCATGCGCATGGAGGTTTCGCAGCGGGCGCAATTTCCGCCGTCACGATGCCTGGTCGGACTGTCACGGCAAGGCTGGCAGAGTGAGGTGTCAATCTCGCGGCATAACCAACGCAGGCCTAGTCGCCGACGGGAGATGACGTCTGTCTCGACGCGGCGTGCCCAATCCGGCGCGGGCAGTGCAAGAGAGGGCAGCATCAGGCCAGAGATGTGTACTGGGTACTGTGTACTGTGTACACGCGACGTGTCTGCAATAGCGAGCGGCCTGACGGTGGGCGTAGAAGATGCCGTGTCGTCGGGCTCTTGACGAGGCTTTTTGAAGAGGCGGGAACCAGTCCCGGCGAGATGGGCGGCTGGAGGTCAAACGTTGGCGGGCGGACTAGCGACAGGGCTGAATGCTGAATGGCGACAGATGCCCTGGCTCCATTTCCCGACTCGCGTACCGCATCGCATGGCTGCTGCACCATGACATGTGCCTACACCTCTTCCTTCACCGCTTCCAGAACCTGCTGCGAAGCCTGCCGACAAACACAGTCTGCCCATCATAGACACACTGGCCCGCCTGCTTATCCCATTGCGGCCGCTGCAGCACATAATATCGCTGTCTTGGGCCGCCGTTGTCCCGGACTGCCACCAGGGCCGGGGCCTGCGGGAAAAAACAAAAAAATACATCCATACCGACCTCCTCCCGCGTAGCAGACCCTCGTCCCAAACGTCACAGGAGGCGCCCAATGCTTCTGCGCACGACCGTTTACCACTGCAAAAGTTACCTCGCAAATGCTCGCTCCAGCCTGACCATGGCTGCAAATCCAGAGTTGGCGTCAGAGGTGGCAGCATGGCCCTGTGCTAGCCCGCCTGTATCCCGTCTAATGCCAACGCACCGCGCAGCGCCTGGCCCTACAGGGCACTGAACATCCGAAAAGGAAACCAAACTACGCAAGCCTCCGCACCCAGCACTACTGCTATATGTAAGCTGCAGGTACTGGTGCCCCATCCTTTCTCGTGCCCTCCCCAATTGTCCCCTTGCGTCCATCTCACTGTCGACTCTCTCTTTCTCTCTGCCATGTGGTCGCTCCTCGTATCCTTGGTCGCGCTCCCTTCGCTGGTCCTCTCTGCCCCAACTGGCGACTCTCATCATCATAAAAACCCAGTATGCATCATTGGCGCAGGCCCGGCCGGTTTGGCCGCTGCTGGTAGGTTGAAAGACAAGGGCATCAGCGCTGTTGTCTTTGACCGACAAGAAAAGGTTGGTGGCAAATGCCAATCGTGGTATGATGAAAAGTAAGTCCTGTTCAGCGTCGCAATCCTCAGACGCGACTAACCGCCCATCTAGAGGCATCTTCCACCCTCTCGGCGCTGCCTTCTTCTCCAATGGCACCTACACCGAGACCGTTGGCATACTAAACAAGACCGATGTTGCCATTGAGTCCTTTTCGCTCGCCGGCGCGCGTAGCCAGTACATCTACAACTTTACAAACGGCGACATTCTGCCCTACCCGGCCTTGAGCGCGCAATTCTCCGCCATGGTCGCTTCAGAGATCCCGAGATACGTTGTACTGTGGAATGAGCGCTTCCGACCCGCCAGTGCTCTCAACTACAGGGTACAGCTCCCTCCCTGTCATACACAAAATCCACTAGGCTAATGCAGGAACAGGACGGTGTCCCACACGAATTTACCTTGTCCGGCGCAGAGTGGTTTCGTCAGAACAATTTTACTGCGCTCCCTCTTATACTTGTCAATGCTGTCGCGCTCTATGGTTATGGGGATATCAACATTGTGCCAGCAGTACGTCATGGCCCGCCAACATTTTTGCAGGGATCGCGCATGCAGAACGCGCTAACATCTGACTAGCTCTACATCCTAAAGTACTTCACGCCTGACATTCTCACAGCCTTTGCAGGCATTCGCAATGTGTACTACATGGACTTTCACAAAATGTTTGCTGAGTACACCGAGAAGGAGCTTTGCGAGACGCCCATCTACACGTCTGCCGACGTCCGCTGCGTAGACCGATCGGGACCCAACCCAGTCTTGACCTACACAGTACCAAAAGGAAACTTTGTTTCTTGGAACAAGCAAGAATGCTCTTCCGTCATATTTGCCTTTCCCCCGAGCCTGGACAACCTGCAGCGCGTTGGCGTCGACTTGACCGAGGAAGAGCACAATACCTTTGCCAACGTTACAACACACCAGTACTACTCTTCGGCTGTAGAGCTCGAGCTTCCATTCGGCGTATCCTACGTTGCTGCCAGCGCCTCGCCCAGCGTGCCCCCACCAAACGATGGCGAGCCCGTCGCCATTCTGCGCCTAAGCCAACAATCCAATGTCTCGGTAGCCTGGTCCTGGGGTCCCTACGAATTCCAGACTGAAGCAGCCGCCAAACGCCTCCTCATCGACAGCTTATCCGCCATCAACAAGGACCCACGGAACGCTACAGCCAAGCCCTCCCCATTTACCGAAGAAGATGTCAAAGCCTTCCGTAAGTGGGACTACTTCCCCCACTTTGGCAGCGAGGCCCTTGCTGCTGGCGCGTACGAGAAATACAACAACCTCCAGGGCTGCAAGAAGACGTACTATGCCAGTGGTATCAGCGGCATGGAAATCGTCGAGTGGGCCGTTCGCAGCGGATACGACATTGTCGACCGATACTTTTAGAAAGTGCATCCGACGCTCATCGACCATGGTCGAAAAAAAGAAAGGAATAGAGTACGCAACTCCTTTCCTTCTCCGGATCACATAGTCGGTCATGCGGACGACCGTGTCGCCGGGAATTTCCCCCCCTCCCCCGCATTTTTTTTCTTCCCCAATCCCGAACTTCCTAGGACCGAAATATCGCGGGTTTCACCCGGGAACCTCCTCTCCTCCCCATCTGCGCGAGAGAGAGAGAGAGAGAGAGAGACACACACACACACACACAAAAACCTGCCTTGCTTTTTTCCTGTTTATTTGCTAATGATGTTCAACGATTTTCCTTTCCTTCTTGCGGGGCTTTTTTTTAGACATGATACCTCAGATCCCTCCCTCACGGCCACGTATGTACTTCCTTTTGATGATATTCGCGTCATGAGCAATCGCGAGTTAATTTTACGGTTTTTTTTCTTTCTCTCTTCTCCTTTGGATCATCTCGGGGGTTGTGGATTTGGGTAATGATGGGGTGTAGATAATGTTTGTCATGGGGGGATTTGTATAGAGTGGGATTGGTTATATTAGATATTATGGGGGGTTGGGAATGGTGTAATTAACGAAAGGGACGAGGGAGGGTTTTGTAGATAGAAGTGATGTATATAGTTTGGTGGATGAATGTATGGATTGGTGTGTGCATGCATCACAAAGGAGTTGAACTATAAGACATGTGCCAAATGTATTTCCATTCGGATTTTCGACTTGAATCCTCACGTCTAAAAACTTGGACAAAGCATGATACCTGACCTCGCTCTCAACGCAGCAATCTTCGAAGTAACCGAACAACCCCAATCTCCAAAAAAAAAACTCCTCCTCCACAGTCTAGTTCTGTCTCTATCTGATCCTTGTTACATCCTCGAATCCCCATACCCCAACGTCTTAACCCCATCCTCAAACCGTATCTCCTCATCGACCGACTCCATCGGCGCACCCCACGTAACCACTCCGCGCCCATCCACCGCATACGCACCCCCAATCTGCCACCTGCACGCTCCCTCACCAACCTCATGTCCCCAAACCCCTTCATTCTTCCTCAGCATCACCTGATTGTACCCATTACGTGGGTGCAAGACGTGTGCCCAGGTAGAGATGCCGAGGCCCCACAGCGCGTACAGGTTACGCTCTGGGTCGACAATGATGTCGACGTTCCAAGCGCCGCCGAGTTTGGAGAGCCAGGCGGTTGTCGCGGCGGGGGTGCAGTGGGATATGGCGATGAAGCGGATAGAAGGATAGCGGTTTGCGAGGGTGCGGAGACGGAGGAGGAGTTTTTGTGCGACTGTAACATGTTTATTAGATTATGTTTGATTAATTGATTTGGACTTTGCGTTTTGTTTTTGTTTTTGTTTTGTTTTCTGGTGATGGTGATGGGAGACGATGGTGACATGTTACTTTTTTTTTTCCAAAGATTCTTTGCTTCGAAAGAATCCAAGTCTTGAAAATGGAAGAATATGCAGAAAAGAGAAGAGAAAAAAAAGAAACTCACAAGGACATCCACAGAATCGCAGAAACAAAATTATTGTAGGGCGACTGTCTGGCGCTGGAAACTGCAACTTCGCGTGCGACTGAGCGCGGTCTCCTATTTGCGGGGGCTTACGGACGGGGTCCTGAGGCGGCGGAGGCGTGGTCCATGATTGGAATGCTTTGGGGACTCCCCACTGCACGTTTGCAAATGGGTTGGCGAAGCCCGCATCTCCTCCGTCTGCAGCGCCCTTTTTCGAACTCCCTGTACTATTATTGCCACCAAACAAGTTGTCGGTCTTTGGAAGCGAAATATTTCCCAATCCGGCTTTCCTTAGCGCAAGCTTGGTGCCCAAAGAGTTAAGCATCTCTTTTTTCTATTTGCTTGCTTTTTCCAGGTTAGACGTGGTTTGTTTTCGGTAGCAATATATCGAAGCGTAGGTCGGGTATCGACAGGGGTGGTGGGGGAAACTGGGCGAGGACCAGACCCAGGTCGGTAGTTTGGCAGTGGGCCCGACGAGTTGGGCGTGGACGGATGGAGTGGTGAGGGAGCGCTCCAGTGGTCGATGAGGTTACACACTTGTGGTAGCGGGATTGTGCTGGAAGCCACTGGTGTTCAGCCCGCGAAACAGAACTGAGTGACAACACCGCTGAGCGAAAAAAGGTGGTCTGACTGATGAAGACCGCTTAAAAATGCCGACACCGTGGCTGATATTGTATTGTAGCTACAGCGCGTTGCACACTATCCAGCTGAAACAGAGTACGTGGCACGGACGTCGGGGCTGAGGTCCGAGAGCAAGATGCAACGACATGACTCTGATGCTTTACAGTCTTCAGTGGCTAGAGTTATGTAAAGTGTATTGTTGTCATTCGAGTTTGTAATTGATTGCAAAGAAAAAAGGTTTCAATCGAAGTTGGCATAAAGCCCAAGACGCGGTCTTTGGAACACATTGGGCAATGTCGCGCTGTCACGTGCGGGTAGACGCGACATTTTAGTGGGGCCGTGTATCGTTTGACATGTCACTACACCCAGTGTACCAACGACAGCTCCATGGTTGTAGTCAAATCATAACTTTCTCAGAATTATAGCTCGTAATAACGCACCGGGTATCTATGTTACACAGCAAACGCAAACAAAACATCCAACCAAGCTAGTTCCAGCACGCACATCATACCTTCATTATTATTACCTTTGTGCTCACGGAGCCACCTCCCGCTTGTATGCAAAAATCGTCCTGCACTCAAGGACGGTCTGGCGCTTCAAGCACTCTTCCACAATGTCCTTGTCTTCCCACCACCATTTTGGTTCGTCAAAAGAGTCGTCTACAAAGTTTCCCCAAATGTCTTTCCACAAGGCACGACCAATGATGGTCGAAAGTTCGTCATCGACTTTGGCAGACTCTGGATCAGAAGCACATGGTAATATCAGTTTCTGGTCCTTGTGTTGATCGTTCAATTCAAAGCCGGCGTCTGTTAGCCACGCGGGGAGTAGCGCGCACGGTTTGGAGCATCTGAAAAGCCGTTCTAGGTTGACGGAAAGTCTATCCTCAATCCACGCGCGCATCAGTGGCCCGGCTGTGGTGCGTACAGGTGCCGCATCCATGACTCTGATTTCTAGGAAACCGCCAGGAGCAAGCAGCTTGTAGCATTCTCTGAACAACTCGGGCAGTTCGGAAGATGGCACAAGGGACGGCAAAGTCGACGCTCGGATGTGAGAAAAGTAGTCTTCCGGGTAAGGCAGTGGGACCGAGCCAAACTTGCGCACCGTCAAGTATGACACATTTCCGGGCAAGGGAACGTGTCGCTGAGGTTTTGTGGTGAGAAAATGTACCATTTGGGATGGATGCATTGCTGATAACTGGTATACCTCCGCTAATGACAACCGTTAAAACTCGCACAACAGCGTAGCACAGAACACACCATGGACTTACAGAGATTTCCATACAGCTCTAAGATTTTTCCTGTGCTGAATTCCGGTATAGGAGTGCTCTTGTCATGTTTCGCAGTTTGCATCTGGAGGCCTGTCAACAGCCAGAGCTGTTTTTCGAGTATCAACTGATGCAGAATAATTAGTATGGCATCTCCAATACCAACAAATGTGTATATACCTCTTCGTCAACACCGTCACTGGTCGCCTCCTGCCAGTCTTCCTTAAGTCGGTCGAGTATGACCTTCGGGCCGGCAGATTCCATTCTGCGAATAAATCGCTGGAATCGGGTAAGCTGCACGGAGTTGCTATTGGGAGAATATAGTATGCTGCCAGATGACTGCGGTTGCATATTCAGCTGCATCTCCGTGGGTACTTCGCAAGGAGCGAGACATTGCCATTGTGAGAGAGGTTTGTTGGACATGTCCGAGTCGAAAGAGGGTGTTCGTATGTCATTCAAGCTCATTTTCCTGTGGAAGCTGTCGTTCAATTCCAACGCTTCTGGTCTCGAATATACTTTCTTGGTTGGCTGCGGAGAGCTGCAGAGGCTTAGTACAAGCGCCCAAGGACAAGAGCCACACTGCTTACGCCTTTTTCTTGTTTCTCATGTCCAGAACAGACGGCCATGTTGAAAAACAGGGTTCGCCGGCCGATGAACTCGCTCTGCTTCGGCTTGTCACAAACGACTCTGGGCTCATTGTTGACAGTTGAGGCGCATCATCGCTATTTACTGTGATGGGTGTCGTTGCCTCATCTCGGTCATCTGCCCAGCAAGATCAGCGCAGCTCCCAACACCGACATGGTGATTAACGACTTACTCGAGGCATGTGACGAAATGGAGCTTGACTGTCGAGACGAGTTATCACCTTCGAGCTCTGAGACCTGGTGGTATTCATCCAAATGTAAAGAGTTACCGGATGGCAGAGTGCCAGAAAGCGAGCTAGTATACGTCCAACTTGGTTGCAGCGCCGGATCCTTGAATTCACGGGCTTTTTTCGTATCCAATGTCGCTGGAACATTACGAAAAGTCTTTTGCGAAGACTGACTGGAGCCGGACGGGGGTCGTGTGGTTTTAGGCTTGATGATGTTTGCCTTCTTCAAGCTTGTCGGCCACCATGCATCACGCTCAGTCGAGGCAGAGCCTCTCGAACTTCTTGATGTAGTGGAGGCACCGATGGATGGAGACCTAACGGATCGCTCCTTCGCCTTTCGTTCTCTCCGAGCTCCGAACGTCTCGGGCTCTTTCTCCAGTGGAAGGTCTGTTGCGAACATGGTCGACTACGGATGAGGAGACACGGTGGGGGTTAGTGGGGCCACACTCTAAGTCGACGGCCCTAGATGGCGAGCGCAGAGCGTGGACTGGAGGCTATTTGTGAATGAAATGGAGCTTTCTGGTCGGTCAATGCGCGCCGACACGGGCGCCTGGCAGATGGTGTTGCGGCCGTCAAGCAGATCACGTAGCGGTACCTGGCACCAGCCGTATGTGAGTAATCGACGAAACGCTGTCGCACCAACGAGAATGTGGCGTTATTGACCTCTTGACTCTACTTTAGGTCTAATATCAGGGCTTCCCGAGCCAAAATACACAGCCAAGCGCACTACCCACCCCCATGCTGTCGTGCTCGGATGCTAGGCGCACGGTTGCCCAACACAATGCCCTTCTTGGACATGCCGGCTGCATTGCTGGAGAGGCCTGCGGCCACACGTGCTAAGGGCGTGCAATGCGTCTCTCTATCTGGCGCGGGTCTTCCCCGGAAAAAGCACACTCCAAACTGCAATGCTGCTCGATAGGCGCAGCCAGCCTGACCAGCCCGTCGGCCTTTTCATCTGCACTCCGCGGTATTCGGTGGCAAGGTTTGACAAGGAAATAGGGTGGGTCTCATCTTGCGGAGTACCAGCAGGATTGCCAGACACGGCCGGCAGACGTAAGAGGAAAATCGAGTCGTTCGGCGGCGGGAGATCAGTGTTGATCTTCGTCGACGCAGGCCAAGTGCCACGCACCCGGCGCAGCGGCGCAAAATCTGGCCTTTGAGCACTGGGCAGAGGACACCTACCGACACATTAGACACGCCATGTGCAATCAAAAGTAACGAACAGCATGGCGCAACACCCACCTGCCACTGAGACGCCGAGGTGTTGGCCGTCTGCTGCCAGTGCGGGGCGAGCATTACTGCACTGATGATCGACATAGGCGCCAGGCGGAATGCGGCTGGATCTGCAGCGAGGGTGCCTGACTAACCCCGGCCAGCCCACCCGCGCCCCTGACTCGCTTCCGCCCATGATCATACACTGCTCAACCACCACCACACAGGGCTATTCTACTTGCACCCCATCCGCGCGTACCATTCCACAGCATCCGGTTCGCCTGCACGACAACGCTCTTGCCGCGGCGGCACTGGCTAGGATCATGCTTCCACTGCCTCGCCCCTGGGTTCCCTACATGAGAACGCTTTCGGATGCGTGTTTCTGCCCTGGTGCCAGAGCTGGCTCCCCTTGCTCCCCGCCTCAGCCAGCGCCCTGCCGTCTGGCCTGCTTCTGGTCTGAAGACTAGCAAAGCCTCGGAGTCCTCTTATCTTCCAGTGGCATGATCATATGCCTTTTGCTTATGGCTTCGGTCTAACTCGTCGCAGTCGCGAACCCTATACATGACATCTGCTTTTGCCTGAGCCTCGTTCATGCTTGCTTATACCACGCCACCCGCGACACACATATAGCCGGTGCAGGCAGATCCTCTATAGTCCTCCTGCTCGCCCCCCTCCTCCCAGCAAAGATCCGCATCTCCACCATTGCTTGTCTTCACACATCTGCAGCCATGGAAACTTATCACGCCTATGTCGACGCTTTCAATGCCCAGGTCGGAAGGTCAACTTTCGGGAGGATCTTTCGCCTCGACGGCTGTGGACATGTGTGTTTCATTACCAGCACTCGCGCCTTGCTATCACTCGCTGACATGCCGAATAGGAGGATGAAATCAAGCACACTAGGTTTACTACAGAAATTCGAGCTGGGCTCACTTCATTCTTCACCATGGCGTACATCATCGCTGTCAATGTTAGTCTGTAAGGGTCGCGTGCCAAAAACATTACTGAGAGGCTAGGCTACCATTCTCTCGGACACTGGTGGAAACTGCGTTTGCAACGACACAGCCGACCCTTTGTGCTTAAAAAACAGCGAGTACCTCATTTGCAAACAAGGTACGGGCAGTCTCCGCAGGAACTGAAAACTTTGGCTAACACATGACCAGATGTCAACCGCAATCTCATCACAGCAACAGCTGCAGTAGCAGGCTTTAGTTCCTTCTTGTTTGGATTCCTAACGAACATGCCAGTATGCCTCGCCCCAGGAATGGGACTCAACGCATACTTTGCTTATCAAATCGTGGGTTTCAATGGAGGCGGTCCCATCTCTTACAACCTTGCACTTACTGCCGTCTTTGTCGAGGGCCTGATATTCATCTTCTTGTCCTTGATTGGAATGCGGCAATGGCTCGTGAAGGTCATTCCTGTGTCGCTCAAGATTGCCGCTGCTTGCGGCATCGGGCTATTCCTCGCCGAGGTAGGTCTCAGCAACAATGCCGGTATTGGAGCTATTGCGGGTTCGAGCAGTACGCCACTTGACATTGCTGGATGTCCAAATCAATACAAGGATGAGTTTGGCTCTTGTCAAAGCCACAAGATGACATCGCCGACGGTACGTTATGTCGCAGTACCCGGACAAGTCCCAGCTAATCAGAGCATTTAGATGTGGCTCGGCATCATGTGCGGCGGCATTCTGACGGCATATTTGATGTCTTATAAAGTCAAGAGTGCCATGATATTGGCCATTCTGCTTGTATCCATCATCTCATGGCCGTACGTCTGATGTACCTTTCTGAACGGCAGGATTTACTAACCTTGTCACAGAAGAGGAACTGAAGTGACCTTCTTCCCTGACTCCGAACTTGGCAACGACCGATTCAACTTTTTCAAAAAGGTGGTCAGCTTCCAGCCTATTGATCGTACCTTGAACGCATTAGATTGGAACATATCCGAAAAGTCTGGCCACTTTGCCCTCGCGCTCTTTACCTTTCTTTACGTCGACATCATTGATTGCACTGCAACACTCTACTCCATGGCGCGCTTTTCTGGTGTTGTCGACTCGGAGACCGGGGATTTCCCCAGATCAACGATCGCTTATTGCACAGACGCTTTCTGCATATCCATCGGCGCGCTTCTTGGCTGTTCGCCTGTCACAGCTTTTATTGAAAGTGGCGCTGGCATTGCTGAAGGAGGAAAGACTGGCTTGACAGCAATGACTTGTGGGCTGTGCTTCATCATATCCATGTTTTTCGCGCCTATATTCGCATCTATTCCACCATGGGCTACCGGGTGTACTCTGATTCTTGTAAGTTGCACCCGTACTACTGCCGACCCGAGCTTCGCCGTTGACCCTGTCACCAGGTTGGCTGCCTTATGATGCGACAGATCACGTCGATCAACTGGCGCTACATCGGTGACGCCGTCCCTGCATTCGTAACTGTCATGTTCATCCCATTTGGCTACAGCGCCGCCTATGGTCTAATAGCGGGTTTAATGGTATACACGGCACTTAACGGGATGATCTACATAACCAAGGTTATTTCCGGCGGTTACATCGTTCCAGATGATGAAGATCACCGGGAGTATTGGACTAGTAAGTTGCGAAATTACCTCAATATCACCCAACAATCATGGACCTGGGCTTATTTCATCAATTCAGTCAAGCCCGTTGGCCGCCTCCCATGGTTCGTTTCCGCAAGCCAAACAGTTACAGATCGCCTGCGGGGAACTCCGAGTAAAAGGGAAGATGTCATGCTCTCCGACCGCAGTGGAGAAACAGACTGGAAATACCGTGAGCGTATCGGCTCCAATGGGTCTCACCGCGAACTCGAAGCGGTCATTGTGCAAGCACTTCCCACAGATCCTCGTCACGAAAAGGTATTCGCCAAGATGGGGGTGCATGAAATGAAATGAGTACATTTTCCACAGGATAACAATATTTGTTTCAGTTTTAGGGGCATTTTCCCTCTCCCCCAGGAGCGACAAGAGGGACCAGGTAGTTTGGGAGGCCTCAAAGTTTAATTAGCGTCACACGCAAAGCGTACCTATCGTTTTTCCTATGTAAACCGCTTATCGGCATGAACCACATATTAAACAAATAATGTATTCAAACACACAGCTTCTATCATGACCACAGTATGCGGCATCTGCCTTTTTCCGTGTTTGCGACATGTACATGCGTATAATCTCACCTTCTGTACTGCGTCGTGGAGTTGACTAACCCTCATTTGGAATGCAGAGTGGGGGCCCACTTGACGAACCAATCATGACCGCCGGATTTCACGCATTCTCTCCAATAAGCTTTGTCCCTGCCTATCTTTCCCTGAACCGCTAAACTTCGTTCAGCCCCAATGTTTCAACCTATTATGCCTTGCCTCCTTCAACAAAATTGAACGACCCATCCGTAAGTTTCTCTTTTTTGCTTCGCATCCACAGCTCCTCCGTGTCCAATTAGACTTGGCCGCTTCCCTTTTCAACGCCCCCTTTAACTCTTAGTAAACGTACCTAATAATGTCTTATTCTCAATGCGTAGTCACTAGCCATAAGTGTGGCGTGAAGGAAGCGAATGGTATGATATGCCAAGATAATGCAGAGAAGAACTCTCATCCATAGATCGAGAAATTTGATCAGCAGCGTTCAGCTACCGCAGCATCGTGCAAACGCCGTTTTCTGATGTTTAACAGAAACCGCCCCTCAGCACCTTAATGCTTAACGCCATCGTAAGATTCTCGTCGAAAAAAAAGTTTAGAGTTGAAGTAAAAAAAGCGGGCTTCGATCCACATCTCCAAGTCATCTCATCTTCGTGTCGTCAACCTTATCGTGCATGGACGTGCTCTAATGTCTACGTCTGCATACGTGTATACAAAACGTTGATCTTGATCTACTAAAGGAGCGAGAGAAAAAAAAAAAAAAGTAAGACGGAGTTATCATAAGGGAAATTTTTGTTAACTTCACCGGTGAGCAAAGCTGACGTGTGCGGTATTACGAGTGTAAATTGACGCAGATGAGCATGGGAAGAGAGGGGAACAAAGGGGTTACGAGGTGCAAGCTCTGGGTCGCGTACTTAGCCGCAGAGGCGCATCAAAGATTAATTCTTTTTGACTTATGCGACTTTTGCATCCACGACGACACAAATTTCCTCCTCATTCATGTCAGCTGCGCCTTGTCGTACCACTCACAGTATTGATTGGGAATATTCTAACATTTGCAGCTAGTTCAATGCCGCCACCAGATATAGAAACCGGTTAAGCTAACAGCATCAAAAGAAAAGAAATATAGACCGTATACGACGGCGTGTTCACGCTGCCTTAATCTCGATCGAATCTCGATCGAAGGAAAAAGGAAGAAAGGTTGCCCAACCATCACAACAGATAACAAGGCCGTAGCGCGAAATATATTCGCCGAATTCTGCATTCACTTTTTTTCTTCTCTCTGAACTCGCGTTGGTTCGGTCGGCGTTCCCGACACAATCAAATACCACCAAAACGCCAAATGCAATCATTCCTTTTGTGTTTCTTTTCCCCCGCAAGAATTTCCTGATATCTGGGTGCCTAGCGCAACGCAGCGGCAATGAAATGCCATAACGTCCGCCTTCGGTACCAAACAAGTCAAACGGTGCCTATCAATCGTCGTGTCCCGACACCCACTCCCTCGTTACCTCCCCCACTCACACGTACCAAACTATCCCCATACGCTAAACGTTTCGTTTGACCCCTCACAAGCCAAAATAGATAAAAGAAAAAGAGAAGAAGAAGTCATAGTAAGCAGAACGATAAAAATCAACAACCACGCTTGCCCAAGAGTCTCGCTTCTGCATACATCCTCTTACCCGACCCACCGCAGTATTCCTTTTTCCCCAACTCTCCTTCTCTTTCTTTGTTCGCTCACCCCTCCATCTTTCTCCTTCCCCCACACCATCATCGACAAGCAAACACACACACACACCCTCACTCACTCAGCACACCATCCCGCCATCGATCTGATACACCGATCCAGTCACAAAGCTCGCCTCGCTACTAAGCAAGAAGCGAATCACCCTAGCCACCTCCTCGGGACGCGCCCGCCGCCCCAACACCGCATCGTTCGGCAGCGCGAATCCGAGCTCGGCATCCAGCGCGTGCATGAGCGGCGTATCCACGAAGCCACTGCGAGGGGTGTGAGATTCACGTGTAAGTCAGTGTGTTTCGGACAATAGGGTTACTTTGCTTACTACTACTACGCTATCTTGTTCCGAGGAATTTAGCGTAGCAGTAGTAGTCGTAGTAGTAGTCTCCCCCTCCCCCATACAAGATGACGATGAAGAAGGAAAAGGAAAAAGAAAAGAAAAAACAAACGTACGGAGCAATTGCGTTAATTCGTATCCCCGTCCCCACCTGCTCCTTGGCCGCCGCCTTCGTAAGCCCCACAACCGCATGCTTCGACGCGCAGTAGATACTGCAATTCGGTTTCCCAACCAGTCCCGTGATCGATGCTGCGTTGACGATGGAGCCGCCGGTTACTACATCGCCGCTTGCAACGCGCATGCTGCCGAGTTCGGCGGCCATGCAATTAAATGTTCCCTCGACGTTTACACCAAAGACGGCGGCGTAGTTGGACGGCGAGTGCGCGTGGGCAGGGGCGAGAGACCCAGATATGCCTGCGAGATTTACTGCGCCTGATCGTGTTTTTTTTCGTGCATGTAAGTATGTCTTCTGGTGCTAAGTGATGTGTGAAATGTGAAAACGTACCGTCTAGACATTCCTTCCCCCACTTCTCTCCCGCTCGACCTATCCACGCGTTTACCTCCTCGCTCTTTGTAACGTCGACTTTGTACCCTACGGCGTTTTCGCCGAGTTCCTGGGCTAGTTGCAGGACAGATGCTTCGTCTTTGTCTGCGAGCGAGACTTTGGCGCCGCTTTGGATGAGGAGCGTGGCGGTTGCGCGGCCGATGCCTGATGCTGCGCCTGTGATGGCGAAGAGGTTGTTGGCGATGCCGTGGGGTGAGGATGCCGTGTCCATGCTGAGTGGAGCGGGTGTAGTGATGTTTTGGGGAAATGGGGGCTGAAAATGGGTGTAGAATTTCGGGATGGATGAATGAGATACAGAATCGAGAATTGCGATATCTTGAAACTATGAGGTTAATTTCTCAAGGGAGTTGCTGGGCTCGCTGGATACCATATGTTCTTGCGATAGCGTGGGGAGCCGAGCGTGCAGCTGCAGTGCATCTCACAATGTTTAACCAAGTGCATATTGAACACTTCTTCATCACTATTTCTTCAATCACGAGATAACTGACTCTGATATTTCATTGTTCATTCACCAATTCCATCTGCTCGCTTCCTTGCGCAGATCTGCAAGACTGTCTCAACTTCCATATGATTTCTCCCGCACGTACCCTGACCTCACCAATTAACCGGCCCAAGTAACACGATAATTAGTCGTACTACATAACACAGCTTTGCAACAGCTCTATCCCCAAGGAAGATGCGGCTGCGTTGTGAAACGTAATACTCGATCCGGAACGAAGTTAGTCCCCAATCTCCACATCGCCTCTTCTCAATGTTGACATTCCCCACCCTGATATATTGACTATCCTTGTCCAATATGAAGACTTAGATTGTCAATTTTCTGGTTGATTACTCCATCTCCACCGCGCGCGAAACTCCCCTGACAGCAGTGTGGTGCTGGCCGCCGACAGGCTCGCCGCATTCCGGACAGCGTGCGAGTTGCATGGGCATGCCGCACTCGCCAATAGCAAACTGCGTATTATCAGCATAAATTACAAATTGGGAGCCGTGCTTGACTTACTGGGTGTCCATTGACACAGTTGTACCAATGTCCAGAGTGCGTTGCGATACCTCCAGGTCCACTGACCATTGCCTGTTTAATAGCTTCGATTTCGTCCTTTGAAACTTCCTCGTAGAATTCCCTATTCATCATCTCTGCTGAGCTGAGCACGGCTTTTCGAAGGATGTCTCGGTCGCGGAAGGAATGCTGACAGAGCGTTTCTGCTTGCTCCAGAAGGCGTTTAGCAGTGTTCCGGTAGTTGGTTGCTCGAGTGCGACCGGTGTCTTTGACCATTCCAGAGCTGCCAAACAGTTGTGCAATGCAAGCGTAGTATAAAGAGGTCTCAACAGCGAGCTTGGGGAGGCATCCAGAGATGCAGTCGCTGATCAGTTTCTCGCATGCTTCCAGGAAGGAATGGGTATTCTTTGCGGGCGAGCTTCCACTGAAGTTGAGTAGGATTGTTCCACCAAACCTTTTGCGTACCACTCGTGCGATTTCAAACTTGTCCTCAAGTAGCAAACATTGCACTTTGATTTCGAGGAGGCGGCCACCCAGCGCGATACGCTGATCACGGTCGCACTGCAGATACTTGGAAGATGAACCGAGAGATAACTGAGCAAACTCGTCGTCGAGGGAAGCATTCTTCTTGTAGCTGTACATGATTGCTTGGTACAGTTTGTACGTTGGTTTGTGCTGAACATCTACTCTTTGGCGGAACAATCTTACATCTTCCACCAGCATCACCGTGCTGGAATGCCTGGTTCGAAGGCTGCCATTGATTTGTTTCATCTTCATTTCGTTGACAGCCTGGTCGGTGCCCAAATCACGAGATGTTCCAACAACAGCAGTGCGTGAGATTTCGAGATTAGTCCGCTCAACACTTAGCCTGTCTTCCAGCATCTGAAGTGTCTGTTGTCCGCTGACGATAAAACGTTTGGAAATCTCGTCAATGACAGCTCGGTTGATGAGGCGGTTGTAGCGCTGTGTCACGAACTGTTTGACAGGTTCTCTGCAGTTTGGACATTGTGGGATCGCTGCTGAAAGCTCGGAATTCTCGATCAGACCTATGAATCGGCCTGTTTTCTTGTCGACCTCGTATACGTCCTTGAGACCTATATGGCCATCCAGAGTCTCGGTTGTGAAGAAGTGGCCGCAGCCAAGGACAACGATGGGTGATTCATTGAGATCGATATCAGCGTAACGTGACATCATGATCATGTCTGGAAGTTCTTCGGATTTCATTCCACATTGCTGACAGTATTCAGCAGGACATTCTTCACCGCAAATGCTCGGACATTGATGACCGCATCGTAGAAGTTTTGTGCAACGTTCATCGCAGGGTAAGCGATCGCATGGTGCTGAACATGGCATTTTGCAGCTTCCTCGATGTTCGCAGAACCATTCACAAGGCTCAATGCATGGATCACAGGGCTCGTGACACTTCTTTGCACATCTAGTATGCTTGCAACGGACCTAAATACTGTCAAAGAATGCACTGGAAGGATTCGTGCGTAACTTACTTCGCATGGGCTTTGACATAACCCACAGTCAGTTCCATCATGACATAGACGTTTGCAGTTGTGACTACAAGTTCCATGCTTCCTGCCACAAGTCTTCCGACAAGTGGAATGCTTGATAGATGGCTTATTACTAGCATCCTTAGTATTACATTGACCACAAGTTCCTGGGCAAGGATGACTGCAAGCTAGCAGAGCCTCACATGGGGTAGGGCATTTGAAGTGGGCTGTGGAAACATCCAGAGAGCATTTTACGACCACTTCATGTTTGCAGCCAGGAACGACCTTCGATACCTTGACATCGCAAGCAATGCTAGCGACATTCTGGGTGCGATAACAGTGGATGGAATGCTTGAGATGGCCACACGGAAGCGGCACATTGTCCAACAATACCACACATTTCCCACAAGGCTCTCCACATGTAGGCTTTTGGCATAAATGACCACATGGCTGATGTTGGCGTTGGCATGACTGTTCGCACTGGAACACAGCATGCATAGCTTCTGAATGGCATCTAGCTCCACATCGATGACCGCAGTCAAGACGGTCAGTACATGCCAATATACAACCACCTTCAGGGCTGTATTTCTGAAAATCATCTGGCTCTTGTACTTCGATAGGCGTTCCGGGATGTCGAGGGCAAGACAGAGCTAAGCTCTTACCAACGCAGGCAGAAGCTCTAAGCATGTTGATGACTTTTCGCCACATTTCAACGCTAAGGTAGGTTTCTGTGTTGCCGATGAGATACATGCCGTGTTGTGCACGACTAAGGAGCACATTAATACGGTTGGTTGTTTTGAGGAAGCCAACTTTCTGTGCCTCATTGCTCCGTACGAGTGACACGATGACGATCTTTGCTTCTTCTCCCTGGAAGTTGTCGACAGTAGCGATTCTCAACATTTCGGATAGCTGTTTCTTCTCCAAGGGCTTGCCTTGGTATGATCGAAGTTGGGATGGAGCTGGTACCCGAGATGTCACGTCATCGACCGTGAAACCGTCGTTTTCCAATGCTTCCCTGTCGCGGTCACTAAGGCAGATCTCAAAATCGCTCCTCATAGTGGCTCGCAACTTTTGAAGTTGGCCAGTATATGGCGTCAATACCGCAATGTCTTCGGATTTGTACACTCCTTGGCGAACAATGTGTCGCACTAGTGCATGCACCATTCCAACTTCCCATGAGTTCGATTTGGAATTGTTGATATGGACATTTGCATCCTTCTGGTTCTCAAAGTTTTTGTGGTCGAGCCAGAAAACATTCTGACGCATACCAACTACATCAGGTAGATCGGTTGTGGAAGGATGATCTTGGAGTTTCCCGTAGATGGTCTCACGTATCAACGAAGATATCTGTGGACGCATTCGGCGTTGAACATTGAGTTGAGCAACGGGCATTAAAGGACGTCCCGGCTCACCAACACAGAGCCGTTCGAACTGGCTTCTGTCGAGCTGGTGAAGCTTTCCTCGCTCACTTTCGAGTGATAGATCGCGGAAGTTACTCACTGAAGGTCGAAGCTGCTCATGATCTCCAATCTGGATCACGTGTTCAACATCCGGGAGTAATGCGGAGATCATATGGCTTTCCATGACCTCTCCAGCTTCTTCGCAGATGATAACCTTGCACTTTACCTGCTGGAGGACAGCAATTCGTTTCGCAAGGCCAGTTGTCGTCACACCGATGACCTGCGCTTCTTCCAGTACTCGTCGATTTCGTTCTTCATGTACGTTTGTCAGCTCCTTTTGAGTTTTCGCAGCATCATTGATCATCTCATAGAGCTCGTCTATCTTGTTGCTTCGAGCTCCCTCAATCCAATGCGCAACTAAAGCGCCTCGCTCCTGAGTCGTCAGCGAATATACATTCGTGTTTGCTTTCTGCACAATTTGTTTTAGCAATGCCGCGGACTGTCGAGTGCAATATGCCTGGATGTCCGATGCCCAAACATCGAATGGATGACGGCCAGCTAGTTCAAACCCTTGAGCATCGATGTGGCGGAATTGGCTATGTATGTTTGGGTATTCTTCAGAAATGTGGTTCTTCAAAACTTTCCATTCAGGATGCCTTCGCATACTTTTCAGCGAAGCAAATGTTGATGTGGCTTCTCTCTGCGTCTTCTCAAGCTGGTTGTAGTTCACAGCCGCCATGTACTTTTCTGACTTCGTCTTCGTTGCCAGGTCGCTCACAAAGCGGAGGTTGTGGCCTTCCAACCTCTTGGACTTGCTCATTGCTCCAACGCGGATGAGCTTTGTTACACCTATATCAAGCAGATGCTCTAGGAATTGGTCCAATGCATGGTTGGTGTAGCACACTATCATGATGGGCCCCAAATTGGCCTCTTTGCTAAGACCCAAGAGAACCTTCATGATTTGGAGACCGAGATAGCTCTTTCCAGTCCCAGGAGGACCTTGGACGAATGCATATTCACGAGTCAGCGCTGCAATCAAGGCCTGGCATTGTCCACGGTCGAGATCAGTCGCAGTTCCAAGCTTTTTGAGTAACACTTCATCATCGCATGAGGACGTAGGATCCATGAGCAGTCGGCCCCCCTTGCTTCTGTCCTTTAGCAGAGGTGACAAAGAGAATTTAAAACCTGGAGTACGTGTGTATAGAGGCGGGGGAATTTGATGCATCACCCTTTTCCCTGGTGGCCCTTCGTGTCTGCGAGGCACGATCCACTGCTGGAACGGGAGACGATTCAAGCGGTGCATCTCCTTCAAATTCTCTAGAATGGGTGAAAACGTGGCAGGTATCACGTTGGGAAATTCCAACAGCAAGCCACGAGCCGCCCCAGTATGTGCTTGCATGAGACTCCTCACGGTGGTCCTATCGTGGGTTGCCAAACTTGCAGTAATATACGCCATTTCTTTGCCATGACTCAGACCGTATTCTTTTGCGGGATCTGTGGTCTTTCCCGAAACTGTAAGGAAAATGTGCTGAGTGACAGAATTATCGATCCATATGAAGGATAGCAGTGTTCCTTCATTGAACCTTCGCGATTCCTCCCACCACCTCTCTTTTTCTGCACTTGACTTCTTGCGAACTGCGCCTGGTTGAACGAACTCAACCTGTGCTTGTAGACCCTTTCTGGCCTCCAAAGTGACATAACTGATCCGAGCATTGATGTAATGATAAGCACGCATGTCCCCTAGGCTCAGTTTTGCATTCCATAGCGCAGTAGGCTCCTGAGCTACTGTATGCATTACCCCTGCAAGAGCTCCCTTCAACTCACCAAAGATATCGTGGCGTAACAACCTGAAGAAGGTATCGATGTGGCGCTGTACAGGATCGTCGAGGAAATGAGGCTGGTCAGGGTCGGTATAGGGAAGAAATTCTTCTGCGTCGCTCATAATCTCACCTCGAGTAGGGAACAGGACTATGTCAGCGATGTCTTTCTTGTCATTATCGAAACGGCCGGAGGGCATGATCAGGTCGCGCGGGTAGGAGGATGCGTTGTTGTAATCATCGACTGCATTATCTTCGTCCATGCTCGTGTCAGCAAGAAGACCTTGAGCGCGTGCCAACAAGGCTCGAATGTCGTTTAGCTTATTGAAGGTGCGTGCCAACGGCTCTGAAGAGGCATCATCTTTGGAGACTCTTGTGGCATTCTGTATGGATTCGATAAGTGAAGGGATCTCATCATTGAAGCGCACCCTAGATTCACGCCTGAGAAGCTCAAATAGAGCAACAGACATGGCAAGAAGTGTTGCTTTTGCGTCCTCTGTTGAGTTCCCGGTCGCCCCTGTAGCAGAAGTTGCTAATATGGCCCTAATAAGGCGTCGAAGAAAGGAAACAGCCCTCTTTCCACCAACTCCTCCAAAGAGGTTGTAGATGAGCCCGACATGGGTATCAACAGCGAGACAGCGCAGGATGGATGAATGTGTGATTGTAAGAAGGAAGTTGCGAGCATTGCTGATGAAGGTCTCGTAGTCAGTACCACTAGTATTGGCACTGATTAGGGCAAGGATGTGACGATGTCCAATGCCATCGTCGTCATTAAGACCTTGAGGGAGTCTTTGGCGCCAGTCTCGATCTCCTGCCTCCAATATGCTGAGCGCGCCTTCCCAGAGCTGTCGCCTTACACTGGGGTTATCGACTGGTTGGGCGAACAACCGCTTCCATGAGTTGTATGAATTTCGCGCCTGAAGCTGTTCTTCTGTCTCTTTGATTCTTGTGGGAGGAGTCTCGCGTACATGTTGTCTTTCGGGTGTGTTGCCTCCACGACCGTAGCCACGGCCATGGCCACGACCACGACCGCGAGTTCCCCTGCCTCGTCCGCTGGGTCTACCATGCTCAGACATGCTGGGTATCTGCAGCCACCACAGGGCGAGCGTGCGAGATGGCGGGTAGCTTTTCGGTTGTCGCCAGGGATGACTGTACAATATGAAGGGAAAGAGAGAGTGCTTCGAGGCAGGAGGAAAATGTTTTGATATCAGCGGGTTGACTCTTGTTTGGACAAACGCTAGCCGAAAGAAAAAACTTTTCAATTAGCGATGAGAGGTGAGTGAAGTGCAGTCTCCGAATCGGGCAAGAGTGAAAGGGATAGGGTAGGGGGTGGACAAACACCATCTCTCGCTCATCAACCCAGGCAGGAGACACAATTCGATTGCATTCATAAGACAAAAAGCACACTAGATTAGCTCTAAGCGTCTACTTATGTATTGGGAGAAGAAACATTCTGTGAACCGACGCTCCAAACTCGCTCACGTGCACGCGTATGCCTTTGTGATGAACAAGACGTACGAAACGTGATAAATCCAAAAAAAAATATCATGACACTCCAAATACCTGTCAAATGAAGAAATACATTAGAAACAATAGCTTTTAGATTTAAAGCTATGTTGTTCGAATCAAAGTTCGAAAGACTAAGACCGCACTTTAATCGTAGTCGCTAGTATGGTATATCCTCGTTCGTTCTCAGACTTGTGCATGTAATACAATAAAGGGGAAAAAAAAAGAACATCTAAATAATCATACATTTTCGACGCCAATGTGCTCACCACAAAACTCCTAATTACCATGCAACATCAATAATCGCATTTGCCCAAGTTTGATGGCAAATGGCATTAGATCCTTAATATTTTTGTCGACCAAGTGTTGGCTTCCAATCTAGAGGGTGCGTCTCTTCTGTTGCATTCTCATCCTGTTTCCAAATCTTAATCGACTTGTCTGACTCGCCAGTGATAAGACGAAGTCCCGATGCATCGAAGGTAGAGCACATGACTCCGGCTTCTGCTTCAAGAGAACCAGGTTGAGCGATACTCTCAGTGTGTTGGAAGCGATGACCAGTCTTCCAGTCATAGAAGGAGACTTCGCCATTGTCGCTGCCGGCGAACATCATGTTGTTTTCATTTACCGAAAGCGTATTGATGATGCTGTTTACAGGGGAGAAGTTTTGCATGAAGTCTCCGTTGGGACACAGCCATTGTTTTGCGGATTGTGCAGAACCAGAGGCGAAGGTAAATTCTGTAGGATGCGTGGCAAGAGCGCGGACAGACTTTTTGTGGTGAGTCAATACAGTTCGGGTCTTTCCTGCGACAAGATCCCATAGTCGGATTGTGCTGTCCATGCTTCCGGATATTACTTGTGGCTCGGCTTCTTGACACTGGATCGAGGAGATTGTTCCTTTGTGACCACCGAGGACGTGGATGTTGCTGCGTGAGCGCATGTCCCATACACGTACTACACCATCACGTCCTCCTGTGCACAAGACGTCCACTGTCGGGTGAAGCGAAAGCGAGTAGACTCCACTCAGATGGCCGTGGTAATGTCGAATTACCTTGTTGGTTTCGAGGTCCCAGCATTTGACCATCTTGTCTTCTCCGCAGGAGAAAAGATAGGGATGTCTTGGGCTTACTGCAAGGCCTCTGACTGCTGAGATGTGCCCCGTTAGGGTGATTTTCAACCGACCGCTCGCAAGGTCCCAGAGCTTGATGGTGCGGTCTGCTGCACCAGTAGCAAACCACTCATTCCCAGGCTCCATGGCCACCGATCGCACCTATACCAAGTCAGTCCTTGTTACCACTATAGGCAATTGAAATTTACTCACCCATCCCATATGCCCGCTAATGACTGTCTTGATTTTCCACGGAGCATGCCACTCAGGCTTCGCTTGCCTAACCACGTCCTTCCTAACCAGCGAACTGGATGTTTGATCTCTATTCGGTGTAGGCCCTTGTGCGTTGGGAGCAGCGCCCTTTCCTCCAGCTCGTACTGCCAGCTGCATTGATTGTGCATCCCGCGCCTTGTCAGCCTTTTCTGAGACTCCCTCAATCATCTTCTGCATCTTGGGATCAGAGGCCTTCTCCTCGGCGTTCTGAGCCTTGATCTTCTTGCGCCGCTCTGCTGCTGTAGATGCGGCACTGGCCATCTTGGCCGCAAGGGCAGGTGGAAGTTCGCGGACGTGCTCGTATTCATTGCGAATGCGCGATGCGACGCCTGCTTGGTCGGCAGCGGTCGAGGGGGCCGGCGATGTGGGGTGTATGGAGAAGCTGCCGTTGGATGCGTGATCTAATGCAGCGGATGAAGCAAAGTCGGCAGCGAATATCTCCCGCGTCCGCTTCGAGGACATTCTTACGAGCTGCTCTGCCGTGCTGGGAGGTCGCGAAGCTGCCGTGTCGGCCATGACTGCGTTTGTCTATCGGAGGATTTGATGGTTACAATGCAGAACGACAGATATAGCGACTTATGCGATGGCGATAGCGAGAGTTAACAGAGAAAGCTCACGTGTGGAGGCGTTTGACCGGTATGCGAGGCCAACAGTTCGTCATGAACTTGGGAATCGCGACCGCCGACGGAAGTTTCATTAGCGCGCCTGGCTGGACTGGACCGAGCCAAGGCCGAAATAGATCTTATCTTATCTCATCTGATGTTCGTCCACCTGGGTAGCATTGCTCACGCTTGACCTCGCAACTTCGGTTCCAATACTTGATGAAATTTGTCCTTTCTATTATCTTCAGTTATCTAAGACTCATGCGACTTTTTTTGCAAAAAACAAAGATAGGTGCGTTAATGTCATATCTTCGACTACATTCGCCTTGCTCTATCACGCGTAGTACTCAACAAGACTAGGGAACCTCTACCCAAACTCTGGCCAACCAAGCAACTTTTGGGTTGGGAATTATGAAACACTACTACATACAGTGCTACATTTCTTTGTTGAGACCCTATTTCTAGTAGGAAAAGCCCCTCCCCGCCTTGGGTTTCTAAAAACAGCCCCTCTCATTAGATCAGTCGATTCCATACATACACTGCGCTCGCATCGTACGATAGAATTCGCTTTCAACAATCTTCTTCATAAAATTAAAACGTCAAGGTCTTGAGGCTTTTGGGCCAAAACCGAGAACCCGGCCTGTCCTCAATCATTTGTAATGGCCAAGACTTGTCGCCAGATGCCAAAATGAGTCGAGACGAAGGCCGAGTCATCATACCACTGCAAGCTCGATGATGATCATCGCTGTATTTCACAGGCATGCTCTCTTGGGACTTTGCATGGGACTCGTCATCATGTGGTCCAGCAGACCGCTGCGCTTCGAAATGTTGCATGAATGTGTGTGTGCATGCGCACTTGTTTCCGAGCGCGCAGGGATGCGGTTTAGAGCGCCACTCACCTACCGCCGTCCAATCCTGCGGCCTTGCGGCAAACATTGGGTAAACGGTGAACTCGCCTGTTGAAATGCTGCTAATCAACTCGATGCGCATTGCACAGTGACCATCCAATGTGTTGTCGCCGCAGGACCAGCTTTCAGCGGCACTACGGTAGCTCTCAGCTGAGTTGGAAGGGCCTTCTCCGTTGTCCTAGCCTCAGGGACAAGGCTTGTTTCCCCAGATCTTCCAAGTTCTCCGCTTTACCGCTCCATTTTCCAAGGTGTCAGGCTGGGAAGCAGCTGGACAGTGCCAGCACAAGCACATGCTGCCGAGGAACTTGTCGCCTCGCGCCGACCGAGCCGTCAGATCTTTCCATACAAGGAAGCTGCCTCCGCATGAGAATGACGCAGGAACATAGTACAAGGCTCGCTACTCAATGGTCGCGTTGCACGTGGCCTTGTGGTTGAGGACTGGGCCGCAAGCAGAGTAGCGGCCCATTGATGCTTCTGGAGGAACATGGACGTGGAAAAATTCATGTGGCAAACCGGCGCAGGTACGACAGCAACAGAGGTTGCCAGGCTCACGCCACTCAACCAACTGATGCGAGATTCTTCGACACACGGGCTAGAGTAAGTATGTACTATCGGACGCTCGGATGACACATGCCGATAGGCGGTGGGCCAAGTTTCTCAGCCATTTCCAAATGGCTTTAGCCAGAAAAGGACGGGTATGGGCGGTCCCGGACGATTGACCAAGAATGGGTACTCGCATTTGCGGGGTTGCGCCTGCGAATTCTGTTGTCGTGTGTCGCAGCGGCCGGCCCGCCTACCAATGATGCTGTCGATTTCGAAGGCTTGGTCCGCGAATGTTCTTTATTTCGCGCATTAGAGGGTGCCCCCAAGGCAGGCATGGTTTGATGTGACGTTTGCACAAACACTCGCAGATGCCAATACTGCCCCGGATTTCTATTGGCGCTAGTCCGTGCCACTGCCGCACCAATTCCAAGCCCCGGCCAACAGCCTGTAGTGTGAGTGTGAGTGGTCTTCACCCCCAAAGGACCAGCCGCTCTAATATGCTTTTAGCCCCTGAACAGGCCACTGACAGCAATGCTGTAACCCCTGGCTTGCCCAATGACGTCCACCCGTCGCATTCTCGGATCGTCGCTTTGCTTAACACAATACTACACACCTTGCTCGGGCGCTCGCCAGCAAGCACATGCGTAGAGAGCTAGGGGCTGACGCGGCAGTGCATTCCCTTCCAGTCGTCTGGAATTTCCGTCTGCCTCTTTCCCACCCTCATTAGACTTCGCCGTCTGCAGTCCCCTGCATGCAGCCGCAACTAGTGCCCTAGTCTGGGGTATATCCAACTAGCGTTGCCAGATCGAGTCATATCTCCAGCTTTCTTTCGAAGATCTGGATGGAGGCAATTTTTTCATATGTGACAAAGAGTAATGTGTGGAGCTTGAGCCTACTTGTGTGCCAACAGGCTCCCTTGTTTGGGTATGGGGCGCCTCAGTACTCACTGCCATATAAAGAGTCTTTGATAACCTCCTTGGATGCTCATCGTGATTCTACTGTCTTTATAAACGTACTGTCAATCCCGAACAAATCCGTCGCTGCTTCAACCTCAAACAACAGCCAAAATGAAGACCTTCACTATCGCCTCCATCGTCGCCTTGGCCTCTGTCGCCAGCGCTCAGCTCGACAACATCCCTCAGTGCGCTGTATGTCCATACTATGCAATTCCCCATTAAACGTACGCCTACTAACAACACTCAGCTTTCCTGCTTCGTCGGTCCTCTCACCAGTGATGGCTGCGCGAACCTGACCGACTTTGCCTGCCACTGCAAGAAGGGTGACACACTCCTTGCCCAGGTCCAGCCCTGTGTGCAGAAGGGCTGCGAGGCTGCCGACCAGGCAAAGGCTATTGCCGCCGTCGAGTCCACCTGCCAGGCTGCTGGTGTTCCCATCACCATCCCCGACACCGGCGCCCCTGCTCAGAGCAGCGCTCCTGCCGCCTCTGCCTCTGCCTCTGCCTCTGCCGCCCCAGCGCCATCGTCTGCAGCATCTGCAGCATCTTCAGTTGCCTCTGCCGCCTCCTCGGTCATCTCATCCATTGTAGCGTCCGGCACTCCTGTTCCCATGCCCAGCCCCGTATCTACCGGCACTCCCTCTGCCTCGCCCTCCGTCACTCGCTCTGCTACACCCTCCGGAACTCCCTCTGCCTCTGGCACTCCTTCTTCCGTCTCCCAGTTCACTGGTGCTGCTGCCCAGGCCACCCAGGCCGTTGGTATCATTGGTGCCGCCGCCCTTGCCATGCTCGCTTTGTAAATTACTACCATATCTTCTCTCTCTGTTGACATTTTGATATGAAATGGGGCTATTATGGTAATGAAGGTGTCACGGTACGGCGACGTGACGTAGTTTGGGTTTGCTTTGTTTGTATATCACCAAATAAGAAAAAGTGAATAGTTCAGATACCACTTAATGTCTACGCATACCCCTACATCCTTCTAATTGTTGTCAGAACTACTATATTTTGTATCTTGTGATGCCTTTTTTTTCGACAGTATCGTTGAAGCTTTTTTCAAAGCTACTCGGAGTTGGGTTGCTTGGTCTTACGCGTTGTCCTGCACCCCCTTTTTTTACTTGGCACCAATCAATGTAGTCATTCAAACACATGTACAGTATATGTTGTTTTCTTTTTCTTGTTCAAGATAGCACAACACCTGCTTTGTAGCTCCTGTTGGCTCTAGATGCTGACATAACGCTTCGAGCACGTGATAAATCTCACCGTACAGAGTATAGGGGTGGATTGACTATTTAGAAAAAGTAACCAATGCATGTTAGAAGAAAACTCATCCTACAAAACCCTTTCCATCCAAAGTTGGATACTTCATGATTGCTCTGACAAAACAATATACATGGCTACCTTGTGTTGAAGTAGAAGGTGGTGAGCATAAAGTAGTTGTCTCTCACTGACTAAGTACTACTCCAGCAAGGCATACAGACCAAAAAGATCACTACAAAACTTGAGATGGTGTCAAGTATGGTACAGAGGCTGTCCCAGGTGAATACGGTATACGCCGGATCGACGTCAGTGGCCTAAGCTCCGAAGTGGGCTGTCCAGAACACCAAGCCTCCCGCATCTTCGGTCACCGCACCCAAGATGCCGAACCGGGCGCCGCCAGCACGAGTATGGCCACTGTGAAGCGCAGAGACTTGATACTTGCTGCCGTCGCAATATTCGTCGCCTGGGGCTATCTGACCCACTGGCAGCCCAAGCTGCACTACCTCCCCTACGCATTCATCACCGGAGCACTTGCGACGCTCGCACTGCTGGCATGGCTCACCTTCACCACCGCCTGGGACAGGGACCTACGACGCGGCGGAAATATCGACTATGGGCCGCGCCATGTTGCCTTTGTGGCGCCGGACAAGTGGAAGGCTGAGAGGGAGGCTCTGGACAAGAGGAACATGTACATGATGGAACCGCTATACCCCGCGTCCTATATGATATCAGACAGCCTCGATGTCCTGATCGGCCTGATACTGCGCGATTTTGTAAAAAGCTGGTATGGGAGCATCAGCAAGAGCCCAACATTCGTACACGAGGTCGACAAGGCAGTGCGTGCAGCCATGGGCGAGATACGGGAACGCATACTGGCAGTAGATATGGTCGAGATGGTCGTGTCGCGCATGATTCCTCTCATCACTGACCACTTGAAAGCGTCGTACGAGGCCGAGCGCGTGGTTCGAGGGCGCAAGCTGTCGCGCAATATTACAGATTCAGAGGAGCTTGATCTTGCCATCGCAGCCAAATACAAAGAGGGTCGGCTGCATCCTGCTGCGTCTTTGGCATACTCAAACACCAAACCAATACAGCAGCAGCACTTGAGGAACATAGTCACGCGACTCCTACCAAAGATCATGCCTCCTAATATGTCCACAAGCCCAGCTGTCAATGTGCTCATCAAAGAGATTGTGGCTTGTGCAGTCCTGTCACCCGTGATGCACATGCTTGCTGACCCTGATACATGGAATCAGCTCATGGAAGGCTATGTAAGATCATCCATCGTCTACCATTAAATATACTAACAAATCCAGGGCCGGTCTTTGCTACAAGAAAGAAAGACGGTACGCAAAGTACGAGCTGCCCTCGACGAACACGCCCCGCCCACACAGAAAACAGCCAAGAACACACAGTTCCCTAAACTCTTGCCCAGCGATAATGAACGGAAATTCGAAAGGTTCATGCGAGCAATACAGCAAACGAACACGCTTGCAGATGCTAGGCGTTTTCGCAGCGAGATCGCAAGCCAGCTACGTAAAGATTCGATGATTGAAGGCCAAGATCCCGTCTATTTGCGGCGTCTTGAGTCCGCACGCCATGTGCTTGATACCAAGGTTGCGACACTTAGCGCTGGTGGATCAGTTCGTGCCAAAGTCATAGCCCAGGAAGCCCCAAAGCACAAGCGTTCGTCGTCCAAGTTTGCCAATGCATCCTTGCGCGAAGTGCTGTATGACGCATCAGGTCTTTCGTGCTTCATGGAATTCATGGATCAGACGGACCTCATGCGACTAGTGCAGTTCTGGCTTGTTGTGGATGGATTCCGTAACCCGTTGGAAGTAGAGACTGAGGAAAGCCAAGATTATGTTGGCACGCTTCCCACGTGGACCGAGTCGGATCGCGCAGATCTAGCGCAGATCCACGAGGCATACTTATCCAAGCCTGAACTCAAGATTCTCCCGGAAGCCCGCCGAGCTGTTGCAGAATTTCTCAAGGCTGGCCGGAAAGCGACGCCCCAACAATATCACAATGCACGGCGTTCCCTATTGCAAGCGCAAACTGCCGCATACGAACAGCTACAAGAGCCCTACTTTCGACGATTCAAGAAATCAAACCTATACTACAAGTGGCTGGCCATGGATGAAGCAGCAAATACCGACAACAGTGCCGGAAAGGCGAGAACCGTGACGCAACCTATGGAGGCCCCATCTCCAGTGACACCCTCCGTGTCTCGGACGCATTCAAGACAAAATAGTTCGTTATATGCACCACAAGGGGATCTGCGTCGAGCAGTTGCATCCTCTTCAGATCTAAAAAGTCAAGCATCAGCTAATATCATAGAGCCACCTGCACGACGCTCCTTGGATGTTGCACCATCTACGTCTAAGCGTGCACCACTGTTTGGCGATGATTACGACTCCGATCCCCTTGCGCACTCTACCGCGAGCTTAAATTCCGACTTTGGCTATGATCGAAATGGTGCAAATGATGCAAGGGTGGTGGATGCTATGCAGGCTGCTCTGACTGACATCATGGATGAGCCAGAAGGTTCTATTTTCTATGAGCCAGGTCTAAAATCACCAGTGGATAATGACTCAATGCGCGGCTCTCTTGATCTACCTCGGGCGTTGTCACCTAATCCGCAAGGAAAAGAGAGTCTGAGACCGAGCATAGCATCACTCGGTCTAGTTGGAGAACCCAGAACTCGCGGCGTATTTAACGATGATTTGTTTGGCGACGAGCAGAAATTCTTAGAAGACGAAGTCGATGATCCAATATCAAGCGAAAAGGCGGATGACGAGGAGATACACGAAGCTGCACCGGGAGATCTGGGGTTAGCGGAGGCGATCGATGCTCTTACAGCCGATATCGAGCGTTTAGTGACACAAGAGTCTATTGTGGATTCGCTTACATCAAAGGCTGAGTTGACCAACAATGCCGCTGAGCTTAGAATCTTGCGCAAGTCCAAAGCTAGCTTACAGCGAGAGATTCAGCGAAAAGAACTCCAACGGCAGCAGTACATTGTGCAAGAGAGTGACAACAGTTTGTACGGGCGTGCAAACGTGTTCATACAGTCAATCATGGTGGGCACAGAAGAGGACGGCAAGGACTATGCCATGTACGTTATTGAAGTCCGACGACGCGCGGGCGACCAAATGCCCGCAGCAACTTGGGTCGTCTCGCGCCGTTACAGCGAGTTCCACGAACTGAACAAAAGGCTTCGTGCAAAGTTTCCTCAAGTTCGGAACCTAGAGTTTCCACGCCGCCAGATGATACTCAAGCTTCAAAAAGACTCTTTGCACAAACGGCGGGTCGGTCTGGAAAAGTATCTGCGAGAGCTCCTACTCATCCCAGCTGTATGTCGCAGCCGTGAATTTCGAGCATTCCTCTCTCAAGCTGCGATCAGTCCTGCCGAAGCGCTCAAGAATCAAGATCCAAACTCGAATGATTTCGTGACCCGCATCTACAACTCTGTCGCAGACGGCATGGAAGAATTCCTCGGCAACATCCCCGTCCTCGACCAACTCTCCGTAGCAGGCCAAAACCTCATCTCCGCCGCGACCACGCAGCTCGCCCATACCAACGGCGCGACCGCCCAACCCACCAGCCTCGCCTCCTCCGGCGTCCTCGTAGCCGGCGAGCCCAACCCAGACGCTGAAGCCGAAGCTGAGCTCCTCGCCTTCGAAAACAAAGAACTCGAACCCTTTGTCAAACCAATCTGCGACCTCTTCCTCGAAACTTTCGAGCTCAACCGCGAAAACAACTGGCTCCGCGGCCGCGCCGTCGTCGTCGTCCTGCACCAGCTCCTCGGCGGCACCATCGAGCGCAAAGTCCGCGAGTCCTTTGATAACCTCCTATCCGAAATGAACATTGCTCAGTACATTGATGCGCTCAAAGATAGCATGTGGCCCGATGGCCGCATGAAAGCCGGAGTGGAGCGCACGACCCAGGATAAAGAGCGGAGTAGGAAGGCCGCGAGCGACGTGCTTAGTACGCTTATACCCGAGTTGGCGAGTAGTGTGGTTGGGAGACAGAATGCGCAGTTGGCGGCGAAGAAGTTGGAGGGGACAGTTAATAATGGGCGGTTGAAGTAAGTGTTGTTGTTTTTTTCTTTCTCCCTCTTTTCTTCGGTGGTTTGAACGAAGAACGTATGCTAATGACGTGTTTTTTGTAGCACCCATCTTGTTTTTACGCTTCTAGACGAGATTCTGCATGTCCTGTTTCCGGATGTTTATGCAAAGTAATGTATATAACATCCATCCCTACGTGCCGGGACGCACGGTGTAGCGGGACACTTTCTCTTCCGAACCCTCGGACTATTCTATAACATGCTTATATAGATAAGTAAAATACACATCTACTCTATAGCTCTTACTCTCCTAGTATATTAGCCTCTAATACTAAAAAGTGCGTTGTTAATCGTGCTATCGCTCGTTCTATTAATACTATTTTCTAACTCTTCCCTGATACCCTCTACTCCTCCGTGATAGTATTAGCCGCCATCGCCGTGTGTTGCCTGAGTATGCCGAGAACGATCAAGCAACGTCTATCCCTATGCTTACTTACATGGCAGACACTGTCTGTACATATGGGGCCAGGTGGGGCGGCGTAGATTGATGTCCACACCACGTCCGCTGTCTGCCCCGCCTTTCACTCTGGGTATATACCAATGGTGACGGGCCAACGCGCACTCCGAACACCAAAACCACCAAACTTAACGCTGTAGAGTCTCACACAATAGCTGCAGAATATCGTTACTGTGACGTGTTTAGTAGATAGGCACAACTATATTAGGTAATAAGGATTCAGTTAAGGTGAATTTTTGAGGTGCTCCTAAGGGTTTGGATAAAGGCTATATATACTCTATGCACGTGCCTGCCCTCCCTCCACCCCCCCCCCTTGCCTAACAGATGCCCGTTGGATCACCGAGGGTCGTCCTTCCTTGGGTCTGATATCGAAGTATCGTGATAGTTACTGTTGTACATCAAGCGCAGTAACAATCACATGTTCCTGAATCATTCGCCCATGCTGATTGAAATTTTTTGCCAGGGCACTTATCTAATGTTAGTCACTCTCATAGTTATATAGGGCTTTTAACTTACATATCGCTTGCAAATTTCATCTCGACACCTATCTATATCACCTCGAACACAATTTCCAGGAGTCTATTAATCTATATTAGGAAAGCTTCAAGTATGAAGATGTGACACATACTCCCCACCCCTTTGGGGCTGATTTGCACAAAATCAAGCCCTGGCCTTGAGCTGTGACTAGACTTATAAAGGGAAGGATGATAAGCACGTTTAGGAATTGCATTGTGTCCTACGGCTTAGTACAGACGAGTCTGGCACAGCGAAGAAGATAAGATACGAATTTAGTTATAGGTAATATGTGATAGATATATAGTCTTAGATGATGAGGGCTTTTTATAGAGAGAAGTATTAGTTATCTATAAAATAGGCTCATGTCCCCTGAGAAGGACCTAGGTGCGCTAGTGCTAGTAGAGTATTTTGTTTTACGAAGGTCATCGGCGACTAAGTCGGATATTACTATGTTGCTATTAAAATACGAACCTCTAATCTTAGATGATAGAGCCAGCGATGCTTTAAGAGCGTGTGTGCTCAAGGAACTATTCCTAAGGTATACTATAAGCGTGTTTAGTGTTGACTTATTTAATATCCATTATGTGGGGACAAGGCTTCGCCGAGAAGTAAAACTGACTAGAAAAAAAACTCTGGATAATTACTAGTTAGCTAGAGGACTGCCGATATGAGCATAGTGTTAAGGTATCGTTTTTTTATAGTAGTAGATCGACGGTATTAGCATCTTTAGGCAGCGCAAATGGCGACGGTCAAGGTCGTGCTGCAACAGTGAGACCGAGCATCTGGCCGTAGAGGCTTCCAGAAAGCTACAGGTGTAAGGGGCTACGCCGTGAATAAGGCACGTGATTATAAGACGTGCCGATCTTAAGAAGGCTTAGTTACAAAAGGGCTCCTTCGTACGACTAACGAAGAAGTGCAAAAGTAGTAGCTTTCGTATAATAACTCAACTTCCGTATCCTTCTTCTTTTGTACGATAGGCAAATGCACACTCGTCCGAAGGCCTCTTCCCCCCTAACAACAGGCATACGCCACAGCCATTCTTAGCAGCTAACTACTAAAAAAACGATACCTTAACACTGTGCTCATATTGGCAGTCCTCTAGCCAGTAATTATCTAGAGTTTTCTTTCTAGTCAGTGTTACTTCTCCTTAGAGTAGATATATATTATATTTACTTATAGGTAGGCGCGCTATAGATAGTCTAAGGGTCTAGAAGAGAAAGTATTCTATTACACCGCGCGTTCCAGCACGTAGGTATGGACGTTAGATGTGTGTTGCATCACCGGCGTTTTATCAGGAGTGAATTCGATTGCTTGGGGAAAGTCTATTCGACTGATTTTGGTCACTTAACTGAGTGAGCAAATGTCTAACACCCAATGTGAAGCGCTTGTTTTTTTCAATTTGACTAGAACGTGTTTTTTGGTACCTAGTGGGAGTGCGGAAGGGATGGCTGGTTCTTCAGCAGGTGACGTGATGTTTAAAGTAGGCAGAGTAGTCTCGCTTGTGATGCGAATCGGAGATTTGATGTCGGCTGTAGCGGCTACACAACTACGTCGACGGGGAGACGTCTATCATTGATCGCTTCGAAGAACCATGTAAGAAGAACATGTGTACATCCGATATACGTTTCATTTCGAATTGAATTCATAAATCATAAATCAGTAGGGCGTCTACGATCTACTTTAGATATTGTCTAGCCAGTTTGATGAAAACCTCATAGCTCATCCTTAGCCTTGGAACCCGCAGCCGTCTGGGCCTGTTCGACAAGACCTTTGTGGACCATGTTCGTCAATACCTCGTAGGCAACCTGTGCTGCAACCAAGCCCGTCGTCTCCGCCGAGCCGTCATATGCAGGACTGACTTCAACAATGTCTGCGCCAACGACGTTCATATCCTGGATACCACGCAGAATTCGAATCACTTCCCGAGTGGTCCAGCCACCAGGCTCTGGAGTACCGGTGCCTGGTGCTAGTCCGGGGTCGATCACATCAATGTCGATACTGAGGTAGACGGGCGTCTCGGTGCCGACACGGTCCATGATGGATGCAATCACTCCCTTCACTCCAATCTCGTCAATGTCATCCGTGGCAATGCGCTGCCAACCTTGCTGTGAGTCGTCGACGTGATCAGCATCGTCGTCGCCTGACAGTCGCGTTCTCAAACCCGCATGCACACTCGAGCCGTTTGCGATCAAGCCCTCAGTCGCAGCGTACCAAAACATGCTGCCGTGGTTGAAGAAGGATTGTGTGGACAGATCTTCGGGGTCTAGCCATGCACTTGGATATTTTGCTATATCCCAGAGAGTTAACAACCTTTGGCTATATTGAAACGGTTGGAATAACTAACCTGGGTGCCAAGTGTCCAGATGTGCGTCAAAATGTACAACAGCGATTGGCTGCTTGTACAAATTCTTCAATGCCCTCAAAGCCGGCAGTGCGATGCTGTGGTCTCCACCAAACGTGAGCAGCTTTGGCTTCTTGAAGTACGACACCCCACTCTCAATACTCTTCTCGGTTGCTGGCCTGTTTGCCAACTCTTGGAAAGCTTCACTCATCTGCCTCAGTGCCAGGGCATTGTCGAAAGGTGTAATCGGTATATCCCCGCAATCCACAATCTTGGCCCATGATGTGTATGGATTGAACCCCGCGCGTGGGTTAAAGCCACGGAAGGACGTCTGGCGAGAAGAGCCAGCACGGATGGCTCGAGGTCCAAATCGAGCACCAGGTCGGTATGACACTGCGGTATCGAAGGGCGCGCCAAGAATGGCGATATCATAAGTCGTCTCGGGGCTGGTCAAGCAGCGAGTGTGCGGCAGGTGGGCAAAGGTTGAGATGCCGGAGAAGCCCCACTAAGCGACTGTCAGTTGTATTCAAGCACCCTCACTTTGAATACTTACATCTGTACCCCACTTCCTCTCAAGCTCGTCCAGCCGCTCTTGAGAGAACGAACTCTTTCCTTCAGCGTGGTGGGCTCCATGAGCGGAGACATGGGCTGCATAGGCAAACGGAGTGATCCAGTTCCACCGCATGATTAGTGAATTGCAGTATCTCGAGACCAAACAGTACAGCCATCGAATTCAAATACCCGTAGACTGGCGTCTAGGGCGGACAATTATGTAAAATCGCGTTATCTTCTGTCCTGGTCATGTTGCCAACGGCGTAGCGGGGCAGCCCAGAAAGGAAAGTCCATCCGTAGTCGCTCGGAGAGAATCGAACTACCTCGACCTGATGTCTGGGGCATGCATGAAAAGACGAGATGTGAAGGTGGAGAGCAACCAGGGTCGTTAGAACGGCAAGCTGAGACGGAATTGAGTAATGACGTGATGCAAGCTCGTCCCGTGACGACGCGCCTTCGCGTGTTACGCGAAGCCTCCACCCTCGCCATCCAAGGTACTGCTCAGCGCAACTCCCCAATCACGTCCTCAGTAGTCTGTGTAACTCATCATATCGGTATTATTGTGAATCTCATTGTAGCTCATTGCTCAGTGCAAAAAGACCTTGTCTAGCTGTCAAGATGCCCGAGGTAGGGACGCGTTCTACATGGTTGGACGCGCATCACACCTGCTAACACTGATCAGATCGCAGAAGTGGCACGCATTGTGCATTTCTTGAAGAAACATGCTGTCGGAAAGACCATCCAAGCGGTGAAAACCCAAGAAGACAATGTGCGCTTGGTGCCGTCTCATCTGTACGAAAGCATCTAATGGCCTCATCCAGATTGTCTACGGAAAGGTTGGAACCTCTGCAGCAGCCTTCCAAAAAGCCATGTCCGGCAAGAAAATTCTAGACGCACGCCAGCAGGGAAAGTACTTCTGGCTAGTCATGGATACTGCACCGCACCCTCTGATGCATTTTGGCATGTCTGGCTGGATGAAGTTCAGCAACGACGAAACAGCATACTACCGCCCAACCAAACCCGAGGAAGCAGAGTGGCCACCCAAGTACTGGAAGTTCATCCTGCAACTGCAAGGAGAAACTAAGAACGAGGTCGCCTTTGTGGATGCAAGACGATTGGCTCGAATAAGGCTGGTAGATGCTGCTGCAGAAGATATGAGGAAGACGACTCCACTGAAAGAGAACGGCCCGGACCCGGTTATTGACAAAGACATCTTGACTGTTGAATGGCTGAGTAAGAAGCTGAAGAGTAAGAGAGTACCTGTGAAAGCTCTACTGTTAGATCAAGGTTCGCCTCTCCTCACCATATCATTGAAATAACGCACCATCTGACCTTACATAGCCAACATCTCAGGTATAGGGAACTGGGTCGGGTATGTTCATTGCAAAATAGAGTGTGAGCACCACTAACATCAGCAGCGACGAAATAATGTACCAAGCCAAATTGCACCCAGAACAGTATAGCAATACCTTCAGTGATGATCAAGTAAAGCGCCTACATGACGCGATGATGTACGTCTGTGATACGGCTGTGCAAGCCAATGGAGATTCGGACAGTTTTCCTCAAGATTGGCTTATGAAGCATCGTTGGGGAAAAGGCAAGAAAGAGGCAAGCAAACTACCGACCGGCGAGAAGATCACATTTCTCAAGGTCGGTGGTCGGACTTCGGCCATCGTGCCGAGTGTTCAGAAGAAGACAGCAGCTGTCGCTGGTGACGTTTCCGACAATGCAGAGGCCGAAGACAGTGAAGCGGATACGAAGCCTAAGAAGAGCAACAAGAGAAAAGTTGAAGCAGTCAAGAAGGAAGATGAGGAGATTGAGGAAAAGATATCTGCTAAGCCTAAAGGCGGACGTAAGAATGCGAATGAGGTTAAAGAAGAGACAAAAGATGCTTCCGAAGAAAAGGCACCAGCAAAACCGAAGCGTACTAGCAAAAAGGTCAAAGAACAAGTCAAAGAGGAGACCAAAGCAGAGACTGTTAGTGAAATTGAGGAGGAACAGCCCGTCAAAAAGCGCAAGACGACTGCTAATGGTGCAGCAAAGAAGACCAAGGCTCCCGTCAAAGAGGAGAAAACGAGTGAGGATACAACAGGAAAACGGCGGTCAGGACGCTTGTCCAGGTAAGGGCGAATACGGTATATTGGAATGTTGTTTTGTACAGTTCGATTGTAAGATAGCGAAAGAGATTTTGTTTTTTGAATGATTGTAAACCTACTACCAAGGTTCAAGATGCACATCGAGATGGCTGCTGTAAGAGGCCGTGTAAGCGGGGTGTCAGGATGCGCACGTGCAATTCGAAGTTGAGGTGCGCTAGCGGTCGAATCGAACACTCTGACATTGAATTTCAGAGCTCCCCACATTCTCACGTAGCGCAGGCCAGCCACAGTGCCACAGTTGCTTGCCGAAGGGGCCGTGTCGCCATGACACATTGTATCGATTAAACATCTCGAATCTCCACCTAACCTCCCCCGGCCTGGTCGCGAGGCTGAATCGAATCCATTTCTTAATTCCGAACGGAAGCTCTTCGCTGGCCGACTATCAACAACGCTCCGCGCACACCTCACACGACCGTCACCATGCCGCAGCCATTGCCCAGCAAGGAGCAGACGCTCTTCCGTTCGCTTGTCAAGTACTACGAGGGCAAGCTGTACAAGAAGGGTAGGATGCAGTGCAAGGGCAACGTATGGCATTGCTGACCCCGCCAGGCCTCAAGGCTGCCGAGCAGATATTGAAGAAGCACCCCACCCATGGTGACACCCAAGCGATGAAGGCCCTGATCCTCAATTCCATAAACCAGGGTGATGAAGCCTTCGCCCTCTGCAAAGAAGCCCTCCGAAATGACATGAAGTCGCACATCTGCTGGCACGTTTACGGTTTGTTGTGGCGCTCGGTCAAGAACTACCCAGAGGCCATCAAGTCGTACAAGATGGCTCTACGGTTAGAGCCAGGCTCGCTGAACATCCTCCGTGACCTCGCCCTCCTCCAATGCCAAGTCCGCGACTACGAGGGATACATTGAGAGTCGGCGCAAGATGATGCAGGAGCGACCACAATTGCGCCAGAACTGGACTGCTTTGGCCGTGGCTTACCATCTATCAGGCAATTTCGCCGAAGCAGAAAACATTCTCAAGACTTACGAGGAGACACTGAAGCAGCCTCCGCCCAAATCCGACCTCGAGCATTCCGAAGCGACCCTGTACAAGAACACGATCATATACGAATCTGGCGACGTGGAACGTGCCCTGAAACACATAGACGAGGTGGTTAGGGTCAGTCTCGACCGACGCGCCGCATTAGAGCTGAGGGCGAAATACTTACTCGAACTTGGGCGCAAGGAGGAAGCTGAGAAGGCTTACCGGGTCCTGTTGACTAGAAACAACGAGTACCGGGGATACTTCGAGGGGCTAGAGAAGTCCTTGGGTCTGGATCGCTCCAATGACGCCGATATTGAGAAATTGGACGAGCTGTATCAATCATTTGCCAGCAAGAACGAGCGCAACGATGCTGCAAGGCGCATACCATTGGACTTCCTTCAGGGCGAGGCATTCAAGACACAAGTGGACCAGTACCTTCGACGGATGATGAACAAGGGTGTGCCTTCAACCTTCCCAAACATCAAATCGCTCTACCGTGACGAGGGAAAGAAGGCAGTCATTGAGGAACTTGTGCTTGGCTATGCATCGGAGAAGAAGACCAACGGTTCTGCAGAAAACAAGAGCAATGGCGACACCACCGATCGATTCGAGCAGTCTGTTTTGTACTTCCTCGCCCAGCACTACAACTACGTCCTAAGCCGTAATCTTGACAAGGCCATGGAGTACATAGACAAGTTGATTGAGATGGACCCAAAGTCGGTTGATTATAGCCAGACCAAGGCGCGGATCTACAAGCATGCCGGCGATGTCCAGAAAGCCTCGGAAACGATGAACCACGCGAGAGAGCTTGATGAGAGGGATCGATACATCAACACCAAGTGCGCCAAATACCAGTTGCGGAACAACGAAAACGAGAATGCGCTCAACACAATGAGCAAGTTCACCCGTAATGAGGCTGTAGGCGGACCGCTCGGTGATCTCCACGACATGCAGTGTATGTGGTATCTGATTGAAGACGGAGAGGCATATCTGCGACAAGAGAAGTACGGTCTCGCATTGAAGCGCTTCACAGCTATCGCGGACATCTTCGATGTCTGGCATGAGGACCAATTCGATTTCCATAGCTTCTCACTACGAAAGGGACAGATCCGCGCCTATATTGACATGATCATATGGGAGGACCACCTACGCGATCACCCATTCTTCACCAGGGCCGCCACCCAAGCAGTCGAACTGTATGTCCGGTTAGCAGACAACCCGAAGATGTCAAACGCAGATGAGCTCGAGCTTGACAAGCTGGACCCTACAGAGCGCAAAAAGGCTGAGAAGAAGGCAAAGAAGGAGAGGGAAAAGGCTGAGAAGGCTGAGGCAGAACGGAAGGCAGCCGCAGCTGCAAAGGCAACGGCCAAGGGTGAAGATGGCGACACCAAGAAAGAGGACACTGACCCGAATGGCGAGAAGCTGCTCCAGACCAAGCAGCCTCTAGAAGATGCCCTACGGTTCCTACAGCCCATGCTCGAGTTGGCCCCGAAGAACATCAAGGCTCAGAATGTGGGCTTCGAGGTCTATATCCGAAGAAGTATGTTGCGATTCCTACATCTTCCCGGGTTATACTGACAATTCATCAGACAAGTACCTCCTCGCCCTCAAGTGTCTACAAGCAGCACGTGAGATTGACCCCGAGAACCCCAAGCTACACGAACAGAGTGTGCGCTTCCGCCAAGCCAGTATGTTCAACGGGCCCATTGCCATGTAGTGTATTGCTAACAGCTAGCAGTCAGCAAACCCGTCGAGCCTCTCTCCTCTCAAGCATCGGAGGTCATCAAAGCCACTTTTACCGCACCATCCGCGGACACTGACCTCAACGCTTACAACGACGATTTTTTGAAGAAGCACTCGGAGAGCGCATTGCATCTCCAATCCGGATATAATGTCCGTTACATTCTTGACAATAGCTCCAAGTCCCAAAATGAGCAGGACCTGCTAAAGACACTGGATCTCCCAACCATCACGATTGAAGAGGCGAAAGCTGGACTGACATTGCTCAATGACTGGAAGAGCGAGCAAGGTGTCAAGGATGACTACAGGGCGAAGGCTGCCAGTCGTTGGAGTGCAGCTGTTGTCTTCAAGAAATGAGCTGCAAGTTCTTCGATGGATGTTGCGTCGAGACAAAGTAGGCAGGTGGTTATGCCTTGTACATGATTACAAGCTTGGTAGATACGTATGCATTTGCATGGCACTAAACTGCCCGTAACAGAAGCAAGAATAAAAACAAACTGGATAACCGAAGCAGTGTCTAGCATCACATGTTTAAGAGTGGCAAGGAGGCGGATCGACTGTGCGTCATGCGCAAGCTGGTCCGGAACGGCGAGGCGTCCTGCTGTTTGCCTGGACCAATCATGTGGCTCGCAGTACGAAAACTGCCCGCTAAGGTTAGCTCCAGGCTGTGTGGGGAAATGTCACAGCTGTACACCCACGAAACACTTTCCCGTGATTTCAACATTCTTGTTTTGTATGCTTCAACAGCGTACTCGATAGTCTCATTGTTTTTGCTACGCCACCTGCGACCTCAACGCGTCTGCAGTCGTCTTGCTGTCCAAACACTAACAGTGGTTTCTTGCGTCAGTAGTTCACTTACCGTATTGACCGTATAACTCTCGGCTTCACGCCAAACCACGATGGCGACAAGGAGATCACACAACAAGACGAGGTTAGGATGTCACCAATGCAAAAGGAGACGGATAAAAGTAAGTACTTATACTATCATGTACTATCATCTTTTCCATGTGAAGCCGATATGCTCAGTGCACACTAAATCATGTACATGCGTATATGCATACATGCACAACGCCACATGTACCGGGCGTTCATACACTCACAGCCACAGCAGTACTGGGGCAATATAGGCAAGTATTTGAAAAAAGACGCATACTAGTAACTATCCGCGAAGGCCGCAAACAAGTGCGGTGGTGAAAAGTACCATGACCTGAGAGTATCTTTTCGAAGAAAGGTGTTGGATGTTCTCATACTGACCTATCTATCAGTGCGATACTAAGCATCCATCGTGCGCGAATTGCGACAAAAAGGGCGAAAAATGTAGCTTCTTGGCACTTGTACCATCTTCGCGCCTTCTGACGAGCTCAACATCACCCAGCCCCGAGCACCCGCAAGACGTGTCGCCGTCGCCTATACCTGAGACTACAAAGCTTCAACTGATACCAGTACATTCGCCAACAAACCTCGCTGCTTTCAGCAATGAAGTAGCGCTGGCGACACAAACCCCCCGTCGAACTGAGATATCACTCAAAGATTCAAGTCTTGACCATTCAACCTTTCCAACACAACTTTCTTCAAATTACACAGCCTCTTTTGATATCAGCATACCACCGTCTCTTCGTCCGTACGATGCCTGGAAAGATATCCGGGAATTACTCCCGCCACCACTGCAAGAGCTTCTGTGTCACTATGAATTTACCACTTCCCTTACTCTCGCAAACGATGATCCAGCAAAAGCGGCGTGGCAGTCATACATTCCCGAGATGGCACATAGCCATGAATTTCTCACAAACTGTGTATTATCAGTTGCTTCGCTGCATCTCGGTCGGCTTCACGAAGACAAGGAAGCCAAAAAGAAGATGAATACGTTAGCAGCTGCACGGATGAACAAGGCTCTAACAAAGTACCGTATTGAGTTGGAGAACATCACAGAGAGCAATGCTGCGGCACTCTTTGCTAGTTCAACATTCACGGCTGTATATCTTTTTCGCACATCGGCCATCGACATTGAGAACCTCCGTGCTTCAATCCCACCAGATGCGACCACACCGTCACCAGAGATAGTCGACAAGATGCTATCATGTGCATTGCGTACGATATGGGGACTCCGCGGTCCTCTAACAGTCCTATTATCAGGATGGAGTTGGGTGGTGGGAAGTAAGATGCATCCAGTCACTGCACGCGAGTGGTGGCCGGAATACAATATCTCTGCAACACCGCGTGCAGTCTTGGAAGACGAACGCCTACAGGAGAT